TCACTTTTCCATTTAGATTTCCCAATCTATCATGACAAGAAATGAAAACTGTTCAGTTGATTTCAACATCTCAGAATGATTAATATCCAACATATATAGTTTTGAATGAGACGAAAACAAAAATTCAATAGAAATCATGTTAACTGTCATGAATGAACTTTGAGCTTGATTCGTTTGTTTATATTTACAAGTTGGAATCATGGTGATCATTTGATGAGGGGCAAAAAGATGATGAAGATAATTGTTATTCTAAAAGAAAGATAATAACATGAGAAAATTATTTTCGAAACTTTTTCATCATTTTGCAAATTGTTGTGAACTTTTTTGTTCTAAATGATTATCGTAAACAGTAGTAGTCACCATGATGGGGAATATTGAACAATCAGAATCGAATACAGAATTTAGATCAATCTGACAGGAAAACTTGTCATTCCATCTCTCCCTGTCTATCTTCATTTCGTCTTCTCCTCCTCCTTCTCCTCCTTATCTTCCTCATCATTCTGGTATATTTACCAAGATTCATTGAATTAAGTTTGATGAGTTGCTTAATATGCTTCCATTCATGGTAAATTTCACTTCCCTTCTCATTCATCTATTATCATTCTTAATCATCCTCATATTTTCAACTCAAAAACTTCACCATCATCATTATCTTATTCCCAGAACTTTCCAGTTCAATATTTATCTTTTTCTATTATATAAACTTTCGCTATTCCTTTATGAATAAACAGAATCTCAGTTACATGGATTCTTAATTCAATTGCCAACTCAATTCATTATTTTATCTCTTTAATTGATTGTCAATAATGTTTCATAATAAAAATAAAGATTCACCAAAATTAATTCATCATAAAATTCAAACATTTGCATCCTTGTACTTTTATCAATGAACAAGTGACAAAATCTTTAAGATTTCAATGTCAATCATGGGATAAAAGTTCAGTCTCTCAATTGATAATATCTCAGTTTATTCAATATTTAAAAGACTTAAACATTAATCAAAGTAATGAAAGTGAAACTTTTTTCTTACCATCATTAAATTTACCATGAAATATAAGAAAGTGAAGGAAGAAAAAAAAATCTATTCCATGATAATCATGATGAAATTGGAAGAAATAATATATTTCTCATTACTCAGAGAAAAATTCAAAATATTAAGATAAATTGATTCTCAGAACTTTTCACCTAATTTGATTCAATTTAAAAGAAATCAAGTTTAACTATAAATCAATGTTATCATTAACATTGCAACTTCCTTTTCCTTTTTTTTATCACTTACGAAATCAATTCTCAATCATTAGGCTGAATCATAAATTTCAGTTATCATGAGTTGAGAAAGAGAAACAAATTCTGAGTCTCATGTTGCTCATGATGAGAGAGATTCTCAGTCCATTTTGATATAAATCAAGTCACAATTCAATGAATGGATCTGAATGTTTGTCTTGTTGATGATAAATTTCATCTGAATTTGTGTTGATGATTTTTACCATTCAATTGTAATCATGTGTGTAAAGAGAGTGTGGTAGTGGTGGAAGTGGCGGTGGTGGGATGAGGAGGTGATGATGGTGGCAGGAAGAAAGAAAACTTTTTGATGAAAAGAAAAAAACATTTTTTTCTTCTTCATATCATGTATATTCCAATAGTAATGAACTTTTTTCTAACTGTTTGTGTGTGTATGTGTATCTCTTGATGAGAGATGGAAGAAGAAAAAACGAAAAGTTCGAAAAGTTATCGTAACTGAATAGATGAAAGAATCATAATCTTCCTCTCGCTCATCATGTTGTATTTTTTTTTATATTTTCATCATAATGATCATCTTCATCTTCATCAGAATCTCAGTAGTCTCCATTTCAAGTCTATTCATGCGAACAATCAAAAATACTTCTCATTCAATACAACCTTCTTCCCTTTTTGACATCCTAATTCACTTTCTCCCTCCATTCACCTTCTCTCTCTCACTCTCCTCAGATCACTCTTCTTCCTTCTCTCTCTATCACCCTGGTTCTTTTTATCTCTTTTTGTGTTCATACCCTGATTCTTTTCATCATTAAGCTCATTCTCCTCACACATTTTCTGTCATCTTTACTATTCTATTCCATGATATTCTCCCCTCCATGTTAGTTTATCATGCATTTCTCTCTCTCTCTCTCTCTCTCTCTCTCTCTCTCTCTCTGTTCATTATCATCTTTCTCATTAATTTTCTCCTCTTCATCATCATCTCTCTTTTCCCACCTTTATCATCGTCTTTTTCTCATTCTTCATCTTATTTTCACCTTCACTAAGCAAAGTTACACTAATCAACAAGAGCAAAGATGAATCAGAATTACGAACACGATGAAGATGAAGATGATAAATAATCTGAGTTCCAACTTGAACTGGATTCTGAAAACCGTGAAGGGAATTTTCAAATACACTGGACTCTACCAAAATATCTTGTATCCAGACACAAGAAACACACACCATTGACTATTTCATGTCTCCATTTAATTCCCAACCTTTATCTCACCACCAAACATTTCATGATATCCACTTCATCAGAATAATAACATGAATCGTTCCTTTTATTATTCAGAATATCATCATTATAGAGAGAGAGAGAGAGAGAGAGAGAGAGAGAGAGAGAGAGAGAGAGAGAGAGAGAGAGAGAGAGAGAGAGCCAGACACTCTTTTACCATGCTAACATTATTATCTTTCATGATCAATATCAGAACTTAAATATGTTCATCATCTCATCATGAGCTATAAAACGAGCAAGTGAAAATCAGAATAAAATGAAAATAATAATAAAAACAGAACAATTGAAATTTAGAATTTTTTTCCTCCATCTACAAATAAATGAGCTTCCATCAAGATTAAACCATCAAATTGACATATATTCAGTAATAATATTCACCAAGAACTCATTTAAATATCATGATAAAAATGATAATATCTTAGATTGTGTAGATAATTGTGAATGAAAAGGATTGAGTGGATGTTGAATGTTATTGAATGAAAGGTGAAGACAAACATTGATGACATAAGATGATGATGATGATATAACCAATGTTCATTCAATGAATGAATACATTCAACAGTCTAATAGATTCAAGTCAAATCTGCATATTACATCACAATTGATCAACATTTTATACTAACAAAAGTATAAGATGATGATGTTGATGATAATGAACAAGGAATACATTGAATACAAGATGGAGTGCAATATGTATGCAACATGATGAAATTGACATATATTCAATTGCTCATCATCATTTACTCAACACATGAGATAAAATTACATGTAAACATGAGGAAGAAGAAGAAGAGGAAAGCTGATAGAGTTTCTCTTTATTCATTTTTCCCCATGAAAAAGACGCTGAAGGAAAAAGATAATTGTATCTTTTTACACAATCTCTGAATTTCTCTCGCGATATTGGTTAGTAACTTTTTCTTCATCTTCCATATTCATCATTCCCTGTGTTTTCCCATCCTCATGAAACATTAACTTGCAACTCCCCCTGAAAAGAAAGCATCGTAATCCCAAATGTCTATCATCAGATTAAATCTAATAGAATCCAGAAAATGGTGAATAAAAATCCATAAAATGTTAATAACTTTTTCCATCCAAAAATCATCATTCGTCCTCAACATCATATTTTCATCTCCTCATCACTGAGCATCACCAATGAATTCTTGGTTCTCGAACCGCCTAATCAATAACATCCAATGTATATCCAAGTGATTTACATGATTTGGTGGTTTGAATCTGAGAGAGAGAGAGAGAGATATTTAATCTTATGCAGATGAGAACAAGATTCAGACCGATGAAGAAAAAAACAGAATAATTTTTTGTTTTTGCCTTTGATTATCTTCATGTTTCATCACGATTATCATCATTCTGTCTCATTTTTACTGAACTTTATCACCACCATCAGAATACTTGAGACTGAGATTATTTCTGGCTGTTTATCCTTTTCTCCTTTTCCAATTCAATTTCCAACTGATATACATGAAAGAAAATCCCATGATACAAATAAATGAACTCTTTCAGCTTTTATAACTTTCAGATTAAATTGAATCATCGTCATCAGAATAAATTATCAATATTGATGAACTAATTGATTAAATAATAACTATAACGTTGAAATTAACTTGTAAGGCAGCAAAAAAAAAAGTTCAAATAACATCATCGTAAAGATTCAGGTTGATAATACATGATGAAAATATCAAATGTCATGCGATTCAAAATGATTAACAGTCAATACAAGTTCTAGATTCATTCATGAGGATTTTTTTTTCTTTTGCTCCAAATAAAGTTCATGAATTTGTTACAATGACACTTGATAGTAGCCAATATAAAGTACTACATAAAATAATAGCATCAATGATATGATGCTAAATATAAAAGACCAAGTCTCAATGTTATCAAGTTAATGGAGTGATGGGAAAATGTTTACTTGAATCTCATTTCAATTGTTTCAATTGAAATGAACTGAATAGATGATCATGTGTATGAATATTCAAAAATACATTTTAAAAGTTGATGAAATCGTTTTGTTTTCTAGCTGAATAAGTAACGATAACGATATATTTATATTGATGATTCCAATCAGTGATAAATGAATTTAGTTTTATTCTCATATATATTTTGTATTCTGATTACTTACAATTGCAACTTGAATTTGTCTCAAGTCTTGTTTTCTTTTCTTCTTACTCTCTGAGTATCTTGGTGGAAACTGAACTAAGAATCATATAAATATAATCAGTAACTGAATCGAGATAAATATTGACTTAACATGGTTACAAGTTTATATAACGAAAATGTATAAAAAAAAGTTCTGCATCAGAGTCACCGAATCATCATATTGAAATCATACCCACATGAGTTTAATAAGTTCAGTGGAACTTTCGGTTTTCTTTTGCTGGGAATTTCTCTTTCCAGAGGGAATTTTTCTCCATTCTTTTTTTCTAACGGTTTTTTTTATTCGAAACTTTCTCTTTTTCTTTCATATTTACAGAACTTTTCGTTTTCTCTTTCTTCGATCATCTTGTTCTTCACTTCAAGTACTAGTTCGATATATACATGGATCTGGATGAGATGGAAAAAGTAAGAAACATTCTTAGGATGAATTTCCTTGGACTCGAACATATTAATTTCTATCAAGGTTTATTCCTGATTCTATTGTTCAATGTTGAAAGAATTCACCTGAATACATCATTTTTCCACCATGATGATGTCCAAAGTTTGTGATAGATGATTCTGATTAGATTCTGATGATCATCATGTCTCATCATGTTTTTATTTGTTCATCAAGTTAATATTATATAAAAGTTTTTCTTTTGCTTTAATGAGATCAGTTGATCAATATAAGAAATTATAACAACCATGGGAATTCAATGTATTCCATGGTTGAATCATGTTCTTCATCATCATGCTGAATTATTCTGTAACAATAATAATATCATGATTTTTTTTTCTTATCGATTCTCACTGATTAATCAGTATAATCAAAATTGTTACTCTTTTTATTATTTTATATAAATAACCAAATAATCATCATGAAAGTTACATCATCTTATATATATATATTGTATCTTTATATACTAATACCATGTAATAGTTATCATCATGATAATAATAATAAAAATGATAATTGTTCATCAAATGAAATTCAAACTTTTTTCATTAGTTTTCATAACCTTAGGGTATGATTAAAATTAAAAGATAATGAGTGACTCTGATTAACCACAATTGTCAATCTAAATGGAACGAAAAATTATAATCATTCTAATGATAGATTGAGTTGATAATGAATTCTTTTCATTGTTATTTCAGGTCTGTAGATTAATTCGATAAGTTCTGATAATGAGAGAAAAAAAATTGGGTAATTTGGTAAAATTCTGGACTCATCATTAGTCTAATGTTATTATATTCAATTCTTAAAGCATGACGGTGAAACTTTCTCTCTTGATTTGGTAAGAAATCCAAGATTTAATGGTTACTCTGATCAACTGAATAAATATAAATTCGCCTGAGGCTATTATCATGAAAGAATCACAATCATCTTTGGTCATCTTTAATATTTTCATTTTCTTTTGTGTCAATTGATTTACTTTGAGAATTACAAATAGAAAATATAGTATTTATATGGATAAACGGGGAGGAAAATTCTCTTCTTCATATATCTACAGATAAATTCGGTGAAATATTATGATAGTAAAAATAATAAAGGCAAAATTCCAACAAGAAAATGAGAAGAAAAAAAGAAAAAAAAATTTTCTTCTTTTTCAAGTCGTAATAAGGTAAAGGTCCCCGAGGAAATTCAAACTTTTTCATAGATACACCTATTTTTTGTTTGAATTTTCTTAAGTGAATTGTTCGCTAATTTTAATAATTACGAAAATAAATTGTACATCATTGTGTTCGTGAAACTATGGGGAGTCGAAAGATATATAAAAATTGTGTTGGGAAATACAAAATAATAAGAATTCAAGTCTTTAGAAAATATGGTAAGTAAACAGGAAATAGTAACCCTTTGAAGTTTTCCGAAAACGGAAATAAAATAAAGTAACTGAAATCTCCATGGAGATAAAAAACCGTTAATCAGCATTATACTGATAAAGACACCTTAAAGAAATCATTCTTAAAGTATTATTCTTGAAGCAAGTTAAATTTTAATCAAAATTCTAAAAATCTTTGTATTATTTATTATTGTGTTATCTTTTAGTAAATAATAAGATGGATAAGTACGTCAATGTGCTGTTAAACATTTCACCTGAAAATCTCTCCTCATATTTGACGAATTTAACTGTTATTGAAGTGAAAGAAATCACGAACGTGTTTAATCAACTAACGGACGATTCGGCCTACAAGAAGAAACATAATGTAACAGCCAAAAAAGCTAAACACCTTCAAAGTCTCTCGTCAATAATAAAAAACTTCAAACCCAAAGACCCACCTGAACCACATGTGCAAGTTGCTTTGGCGATGGAAAATGATATTGTTGATCTCAATGAGGCTCGAAAAGATTCAATAATAGATGAAGACGAAGGGACTCTTTTACTTGAGACCACAACCGAAGGAACTTCAGCTGAAGCTGGTCAATTGATTTATCACCACGATAAGCGTAAGAGAGAAGAAGCTTTGATGGAAATTAAACGACGAAGAATCAATAATAATATTCCGAAGACATGGATTAAATGGTCATCGAAAAAAGTTAATCCGATCGCTTTAATCACCCACAAGCTAAAAACACCAACAATTCTGTACGATGAAATATCCAAACTCATGGAAAATGGTGATTTGCCAGCTTTTAAAGAAGTTTCTTTCTTTAACAATGAGAAAAGTGTCAAGATAAGATCTCAATCTCCATCAATTTTGATGGAAATCGTCATGCGAATAGAACATCTTATCGAAGGCATTGAGGTTCAGAAATTTCACCCGAAAGCTCCTCGGGTTCGGCTTGTTGGTTCGAGATACATGACGGAAAGTCCAGAATTGATTCTGTTGAAGATATTCAAATTTAATACTTATTTGAATGATACAAATACACATTTGGCGAAACAAAATAATAATAATAATCAAAGGGATTTATTATTGGTATTAACACCAGCGGCCAGATCTCAATTACAAGATGAAAACGGAATCTTATCCTTGGGTTTAAGAATAATAAAAGCGGTTGACTACTTTGATATTCCATACTGCAATCGTTGTCATGGACTTGATCACTGGCGCAAATCATGCAACAAACAAGATATTTGCAGCAATTGCGCTGAACCCCACACAGAAAAGTATTGTGAGAACAGACAATTCAGCAAATGTGCATCATGTTTGAATGAAGGCCATAAACCAGGAACCACTGATTGTCCAGCTTTCTTGAGAAAAATGGAAATAGAAACTGGGAAATCAGCATATGAGTATCAATACATAATGAAGTAATTGCTTTATTATTGTTCATGTTATAAAACTTGAGCTTTCTAATTTTCCATTTGATTGATTATAAATCAAAATAATTTTTCTTTTCACTTTCGTACATTTTGAATGCCAATTCTGTAAGGCAAATTTCTGAATTTATAATAATAATATGAATAATAAAAATAAATAGATTTGTTCTTTGAAAATCTAAACAGATAATAATTGTCGAGTAATTGCTGACAAAACGATATTGAATAATACAAATTGAATAATAAATCACTGATTTAAAGGGAAATAACCACGATTAGGGTGATTGCCTAAAATAGTAAGTCGAAGATCGATCCTTGGATCAGAGAAATTATTATTTCTTGTGACGAGATTTAAATCACCATTTTGTGGGGCATCTTGAATAAAATCAATGAAATTTTCGAACTGGAATACAGACATATGACTGATATAAAGCAATTCCACTTGATTACTATCGAGATGAAACTCCTGAGCGATTTTGTTGACAGCGTCAACGCTGCTAATGTCAGCGGGTAAATCGATGGAATGAAATCCATTTATTGATCTAAAGTTAATGGAAATAACATTCTCGTGGTTAATAATAACAGGTAACCGAAGTTGATTCACTGAAGTCACTTGATTTCTTAACCGACCCAAAGGTTGGAGAATCAGATTATTATTATTATTATTCACAACACGAGCGGGAGGCAATCCTTGTGAACATGAAATAATATGAGCCAAATAACCGTCCATACCAAAGCTTTGAGCACAGAAATTACACTTAATAAGAAGCTTGTTGAACTCCATTCGCTCAAATAGCGATGGTTTCCGGAAATATGGATGATTAAAATCCACTACACAATTTGGATAAAATGGACAACTGGTCTCAGTGAGTCCACGTCTATTTACTCTTTTATAAACGGGGTTATTAATACGAGTAGGTAAACATGTCGAACAATAAAACTTTTGACAAAAGACTTGATTGTAACCTCCGTCATGTATTTGTGGTCGAACGGCCAAATTTTTACAAATTCCACAGGTTAACAAATTTAGATGATAACTGCCACTAACCTGGTCGATTTTTATTATTGAAACCATGACTAAAAAAAAAAAAAAAAAATAAAAAGAATTAGAATTTCTTGATTTATAAACAATTAGAAAAATTGACAAATTTTACAAATAAAATAGCTTTTGAAATTAATTTTCTTTTTGAAGAAAATAGCTAATTAAAATTTCGAATTAATAATAAGAGAGGGCGCTGAATGTAGAAATTAATAAAACGTGTAAATCACATTTTCGAATATTTAATAACAATAGCTTACTGATCAATCAATCTATTATTATTTATAATGTCATTAATTAAAATAAATCAACTAAATGTTAATAAATCTTTTGTACTAACTGAATTAATGGTGAACAAAACGCTATCATTGGAAAAGACAATAACAATAATAAATGAGCCGAATCAAAGATTTCTGGGACAAAACATTCAACTGGTCAACTTAATCACGAATAATAGAACGGCTATTGTGTACTCACCAGACCTCAAATTAGTTAAATGTTGGAAAATATTAAGTGACACAATTATCATCATTATACACAGTAACAATCGAAAAGTGAAAATAATTGGTACTTATGTTCCAGATAAGCAACACCGTCAGTGGTTAAAATTTGCTGAACATGTGGATACAACACCATTATTATTGACTGGAGATGTAAATTACAATCACTGTTTATGGTCGCCTAAAGATGGTAAAAGACAAATAGAAATTGATTCTTTCATCACAAACAATCGAGTTAAATCTGTCTTTGATAGCAACTCGATTCCTACATTTCAACGTTCAAATGTAACATCATGGATTGATGTGATGTTATATCGGGATCTGAAAGTTAAAGATGGAAAAATAATTAATATTAATAATAATGATCATAACCTGCTACAATGTTCTGTAATAATAAGTCACATAAGTCAGCGAATACCTAGAAGATTAATGATTATATCATGGAAACTAAAAATCCTTCCAATGGGCAAAAGAAAGCTTGATAAACATCATTCACTTTTCAAAAATTGTCAGCGAATCATCACCTTTCCAAATTCACATGGTAAATGGATCAATGGATCAAAACAACATCTATTTAACAAAACTAATAGAGAAGAAAGAAGAAGACAGATGACGAATAATAAGAATAGTCAGAGTAAGATAGTTGAGATGAACTCCACTCAATGTTGGAAACATTTAAACAACAATATACTCACAAGTAAGACATTCATGTTCACATCGGAAAATATAGAGTCCAGTTATGTTGAATCGGTCAATGAACAGTTGTCAACATTTACGACAAGAAAACCATGTTACAGAGATGAACAAGCTGAACATGAATATGGTGGATTAAAACCGTTAGAGCGGTTATTATTAATGAGAAAGGTAACTGGCAGCTCGCTTGATGCAGATGATTTTACGTTGGGTACCTGGAGAAAATTCTTTCAACACAATCATTTAAAAATCATCAAAATAATAAATGAAATTTTCTGTTGGGGTTATATACCTGAAAATGTTCGAATATTTGGAGTTGGTCTGGTTCCGAAGTCGGATAATAAAACCATTCGAATAGTGAAGGCGCCTAATTATCTATTGAAAATAATAGATAAATTATTAGCAAATAGACTTCAAACTCTACTGCCTAAACTTATCGACGTTGATTCGCAATATGCTTACACCAAGACAATATCGAGACAGAAATTATTATTCGACCTTGTATACAAGTTAAAAATGAAAGAAAAAATAATTGTGTCCATTGATATGTCAAAAGCTTTTGATAAAGTGGATCTGACATTAGCATTGAGTCGCATCTCGACACATGATAAACAATTAGCTTCACTTCTACGTACAATCTCAGCAAGGCGATGGTTACGATGGAATTGGGGAAAAAGGATATACTGGCGGATGGAAGAAGGAGCAACACCACAAGGAAGTTCGAGCGGCCCCCTGTTGTTTATTATTGCGGCTGATGCAATAATAAAGAGTCTGAGAAGAGTGGGAATAAAAATATTAGGATTTGCTGACGATATGTACATATTAGTGGAGAAACAAAGTGAAATTGAACCGATTATGGACATGGTGAAAACAGAATTCGCAAGAATTAATTTGCAGATAAATAATGGAAAAACAGTTATTTATGACATGAAAAGTAAAGCGGAACTAAAAATGTTAGGCTTTCGTGTCCAGTCAAAATTTACAAAGAAGCAAATGGAGCTGAACATGAATGAACTAGCTGTCAAAGCCATCGGCCGATTTCAAAAATCAAGTATGCAGCTACGTTACCTGAAGCTGGTATATGCCAGGCTAATAATAAACAGTATTATTATACCGACAATGTTAAATATTGGCTTTGACTGGCTTACTCATCCCTCGTGGTTAGAAAATGGAATTGCAGTTCAAAAGCAAATGCATCTCATCTTCGCAAGATTTTTTGGACTGAGAGGATCAAACAAATGGTCACTAAAACTGGCATATCAAACAATAACAATAATCGAGATCCAGCTTAAATGGTTAATAGATTGGGATTTGGAATGGAACCAAGGCGATCTCTGGAAAAAGAAATTTGGACAACAACAAGTGAAATTAATACCAAAAGCTCCTTTTGGTTATCATGAATTTATTATTTCAAGATCACTTACCAATTGTAACTGTGAGAAGCCGTTAATATCAATTGACCTTCGAAATGGTATACTGTGTATGGAGCTAGAAAACCAAACCGTACAAATAATAATTGGGAAACAACGATCAGAAACTGTCATGAAGATAAAAGCGTTTGCTATTATTATTAAATTGGCTCATAATAATAATATAACACATATACCTATTGATAGAAAATTATGGGAACCAATTTTCAGATTCGAATCACCAGGATCAAGAGACGTTGTTGGAATCATATATGCACATCACCGAAATGATTTGGAATTTTGTGTCAAACATTGGCAAAGAAAACAAATTACAAATGGTCAAATGGTCCCAATACCTTGGATATCGAGATTAGAGAAAAAGGAGAAAATGGAAAGAGTGGTAAATGAAATAATAAGAAACATGAGAAATCAAGATATAGAAAATCCAGACAGAATAGTTAACCCGAAAATGAATACGGATCGATTTTATTACTCACCCATAAGCTCAATTTTCTGGTTTAGAAAATTAACAAAAATAAACTCTTATTATTGTTGTGGTCAAAGAGTGAAAAACTGGCTTAAACACTGCCTAGAAAATAAAGATCATATTGAAGACGTGGTGGGAACACAGATAACGTGGTCATGGAACTTGGAAGATAAGGACATAAATTCAAGAAGAAAAATGAAATATTTAATAATAATAATTGATAAAATTTGTAAAATTCAAAATGATGTGAAAAACTGTAATTGGATAATGTTGTAACCCAAAAGGCTGCGAAGCCTGGGGAGTAGTTTATGAACTACTCGATAACAAAGCCACGTCTTTGTTATTATGTGAGCAACATCACAATAAAATTTTCTCCCGCGGAATGAACGTTATTTTGTAATCTTGAATTTGGATCAACCTTGAATTGATTTAACTGTTTTGTCTGATTTTCTGATTAATTTGTTGTTTATTTTTAATTGTTTATAATTATCCATGAATATGAATGGACAATTTATTTTAGTAATTGGTCCATGTCTAAGTGACACTTTGGTAAAGGATTTAGTGGTAAGGAGAATTAACCTAAATACTTATCAACTTGAAATCCATTTTCTTTTTTTTTTCTTTTTTCTTTTTTTTTCTTTTTGTTCTCTCATTTAATTTATATTTGTATTTGTTTTTCTGTTAATTTCCTAGGAACGTGATATTGCCTACAAAAAGGCCACTAATTATGAAATTTATGACAATGAAGAAAATCAACATCTATATGTTGTTAAAGATTTTGCTGGAATTTATTTTGATAAATTGAGAGAAGCGAAAAAATTTATCTATGGGTTAACGGCTTTGAAACAAACCTTATTTGGTACCCAAATTATGGTAATTACTTTTTCAATGTTATTCTTATTTACTACTAAGTTTTGATTTTCTAATTTTCTAATTTTCTTTTCTTATCCTCTTCTTTAGACATTACCCAAACATCCTCTTCACAATTTTTCAATGTCTAAAGTTTGCATGGCAATGAGCAAAGTGACCGACCGTTTTTTAGCTGTAAGTTTTCATTGACACTCTTCACTTTTTATCACCTCAATTTATTTTTCAAGTACCATTGATTTAGATTATATAATTTATTCTCTTTCCACCCTTGATTTCTTTTTCTTTTTCTTTTCTTTTTCTTTGCTTTTTCTCTCTTTCTCTCTCAATTTCTATCCATAGAAACGTCATTTAGACATGGTTCATTTTATGGGTGGTTCTTGTCGTAAACTGATTGAAAGTAAAGTTAAATTTCTTGTCGCTTATGGATCTGGTGGTGATAAATATCGGGTAAGATGAGAGTTTTTCACAATTTAGAATCTCTATGTTACTTTAAACCGACGTAAAGACTTTAATCTTTGTTGATTCGTTTTCTTTTTGTTTTGTTAGACTGCAAGCAATACTGATATTTCAATTATGAGCCCTGGTTGGATTGATTATTGTTGGGAACAACGATTCTATGTTGACTTTGATGCAACTGATTCGGAAATTGTTGAAAAATATCGTTTAAAGCCGTTTGAATTTCTACATTTATCCTTTGTTAAATTTCCTCCTGATGAATTGAAAAAAATGGAAGAGTTAACAGTTTGTAATGGTAAGTTAATCGTAGCTATTTAATTATATTCTTATTTTTATTTATTCTTATTTTTTTTGAATACATGTTTTACTTTATACTTAAACACTTTTGTTTCTTCTTAAAAATTTGTGATAACTTTGAATAGGTGGTAATGTTGTGCAACCAGAGGATCCAAGATGTACTCACATAGTGATTTATGCAATTTCTGGTGAAAAAGATCCTGATCTTATTCTGGAACCAACCAATGAATTTGTAAATGTTGTTTATGAAGAATGGTTTTGGACATCACTTCAAATCCGATTACGGGCTGAAGAATCAGCAGCTGATCATGCATACCCATGGATCAATAATCATCTATCAATATTGGAAAGAACTCATAGAATGTCAGGAATTCTCAGTCCAAATTTGGATTATACGCGAGCTGACATGTCGGAAATGTCAATTTCAGACGCAATGGCCACTCCAATAATAACCCATAAATCTAAGCGAAGATTAATTTGTGAGGAGCTTATTGAAACTGAAGAGAATTACATAGAGATTTTGGAGGCTCTTGTTGACGGGATTCAGCGTGAGATTGCAAATTCAAAGCTGTTAGATGAAGGACAAGTTCGAATTATCTTCGGAAAGTTACCTGAAATTCTGAAATCTCATCAATTACTCTGTAGTGATTTAAAATTGATAACAGCCAAATGGAAGGAGTCAACTGCCATCTCTTCAATTTCCAAAGTGTTTATTGAATATGCACCAAAATTATTAGAAAAGTATCCACCTTATGTCAACTCATTAGACTCTGGTAGAGAAATAATTGAAAAATCTCGTAAAGATGAACGTTTCTTTGCTCTTCTCAAAAAGTGTGAAAGTCGACCAGAATGTAAACGAGCCAGTTTAACCGATCTACTTTCCCGTCCATTCCAAAGGTTATTTCATGTTAGAAATCTTCTCCAGAGACTCATGGATGATCTTAAAGAATCTTCACCAGATTCTGAGCAACTTTCTCTTGCTCTTGAAGAAATGGACAAAACTCTTCAAGCGATCAACGAAAAGAAACGAACAACCGAAAGTCATCTTGCTCAATTCGCTGAATTAAGTAAAATAAAAGATTTACCACTTGAACTAATTTCTGCCACAAATCGGATTAACGGTCAAGTTAATGCTCGTAAATTGAGGCTCATTGATGGTAAATTAGTGCCTTGTACCAGCATGTTGATAACGTTATTCCTGTTAAATGACGTTCTAGAGGTGAGATTGATTATCGATTAATTTTATGAAATTTAGCGTTAATCGTCAATTACAATTCAATTTGTTTCATGTTACCTTTTTTATTTCTTTCCATCAGATCTGTAAAAGAAGATCAGTTAAGCGATCGCCATCATTTTCTCGATCATCTCTTACTGGTAGAGCGAGTGTTCAACGTTCTGGTTCATACTCAGGCTCAAGGGACGATCTTAGAAAACCTTATCGACACATTGGGAAAGTTGAATACAGTTCTGTTAAAGCAATCGAAAGCTTTAAATCATGTTCAGGTAACAATACGTTTTTCTCAACAACATTGAGCGACAATTTTTCAGTTCAAGTTGAAAAGGAAAAACAATTGATATGTTATGTAACTTTTTTTCTTTTTTTTCAATCAATTTTTCAGGATATGAAAGTTTATTCATACTTATATTACGTCCTCAGGATGGAATGGACAAAGAGGATTCAGGAGCTTTTCGATATTTACCTTTTTGGGTTGAAGACGAAAACCAAGGTCACGCTAAAGGTTGTGATAATTTCATTAACCTTCTCGCTAGATTATTGTTTGAATGTGGTCAAAGTTCAAGAGAAATAGTTCACAAGAAAAGTGACCCACCAAGTGTTGATCTTCGATATTCTGAGAAATTTTTCTCCGCCTCATCTCGAGGGAAATCGAAAACAATGTCATTCCGATTTGCCAAACGTTTTAAAATGGAATCAATGAAAGGAACAATTTCACCTCTTGTCACCAAACAGTAAACCAGGCGAAGTAAAAGAAAATACCAAATGATGAATCAAATTAATTACACAAAGTGTTAAACCAAATCAAAGATACACAATCACAAGCCACAGTCACAACTTTCTTCTTTCCACCAAAATTGATTCACCATGATCAGAATCACAACTCTGCATCTCTCTCATTTCCACCAACATACTTATTTTCCATCTTCCTCTTTTTCATCCTTAAACTTTTTTTACATTTATATTAATATTTACACTAGAATGAGCTCTCCCTCTCTTCATCTCTCTCTCTCTCTCTCTATCTCTCTTATATATATAACCTCTTGTATTTATTTTTTTAACCTTATCACTTTCCACTTCCTACCTTCTCTCACCTTTGAATTGTGAATGATAAACTTGAAACCATTTCTTCAATCATTGAAAGGTTTTTACATCATCATCACTCTGAAAAGAAGAAGCAACTCAAATTGGATTGATTGACCATTTATCATCCTTTTTGCCTCTTTAGTTTTTTTTAACTAACATACACCAAAAAAAAATCTGAAACTGATATATATCATTTTCATCATTCCATTCACCTCTTTCTCTCTCACTCACTCTCTTTCTCTTTCTCTCTTTTTTTCTATTCACTATGTCAATCAACTTAATCATTTTGCCATTTCATGTTATTTTCTTGTCTTTTTCTTATTGACGATTTTTTTTGTAAACATTTTTTTTGTTGGTATCACATTAGAAAGCAAAAAATGAAATTGAAACAATTTACTATCACAAATATTGTCCAATTACAATCAAATTGTTGATCAAGGGAATCAACTTTAGATCCTGTCATTCCAATAATTACTAATATTTTTCTCTTCTTTGTAAATTCTAAAACATAATATCCGGAAGTGGAAGACAAATGAAGTATACCCTTTAAGTTGTAAGAACAATTCAACAAACAAACAATCAACTAATTCTAATTATGTAATAATCTAATTGTAATGTTATTAATTATTTTTCTATTCCCTAATGAAAGTGTGTAGATATACAAGGAAAAGGGTCTTTTACCCAATTACCTAATTTTAATCAATGTTTAATCAACCCAAAGATAATTTAATTATCTTCAATTTTTTTATATATATTATTTTTTAATTATAATCAATATTTAACATCTCAGAATCAGCATGAAATCAGAATTAAAGTTTTTCGTTATTTTAAAAAAAAACAAAACGAAAGGTTCAAGTTACGAAAACGTCAAAGTCGAGGTACAAAGTTACACTTTTTACAAAATCTTAAGTCGCTGATTGATCAGAGTGGATGGTGGGAGGCTGAAGAGGTGGGATTGGGACATGATGTATAATAATCACAGAATTACATGTATATTTATATATAAATATAAGATACAAGGTGATACCAAAACAACAGGTAAAAACAAAGAGGAAAAACAATTGAACAACATTGAAGTTTTTGCCGGAAGGTTAAAATGATTGATTCTGTTTTCTGTTGATTGATAATATTGAACTTTTCTTTGTTTTTGTTTCTCTATTTAGTTGATTTATTGTTCATTTTATTCAATTCTTTCTCGTTTGTCAATCCATTGGTGTTGATTATTCCATTGGTTTTAGTGGTAAGTGAATTAACTGCAGCCATTGAGAGAACCGAACAATTAGATGATCGAGTATGATCAAGGGAACTGTTTGTTCCGTTAGATGGAACCGAGGAAGAGTAATGATCGCGACAACCTCGATCTGAGTTTGAATTCTTATAGCCGATCATTGGACCTAAATATCTTCGAGCTTGCCGAATATATTTATTGGCCTTTCGACGGAAACCAGTTGGAGCCGCAATCGTATATATCATTGGATTCAAGGCACTGTTAATGGGCAATATGAATACCACCAACCAAGCGTATACCTTTGCTGGAGAAGGGTATTCATTGAATATACATTAATATATTAGAGAAATTAATTATTGAAAAGGAGAAAGTTTTTCAGATAATTAATATTTGAAAATCCCTAAGGGGAATTAGATTGATAATATTAAATTAACCAACTTTCTTCATCATTGATTTGACTCTTATGAGTTATTGTTAACTGTTTATGAACTAAATTGTCATTTAATTGTTTCCACTGTTTAAACAATTAATTTCCATACTAATTATAACTTGTATTCCCTAAGTGTTTCAATTGAGCAGTTTAATTTTACTTTTTGGATAATTAGATGTGTTTAATTTGTCTCATGTTGAAAGTTTTAGATTAACTTGAGATTAATGGATTAGTTTAATACTTACGAGATATATAGATGTAAGTAAATGATACGATTTTGATTGAAACAATTGGAACCCAACAGAGACAATCAGTTACCACTATGCAAAAGAAACGAAAGGCAAGAATCACATCTTCATGTTCATCTTTACCCAATAATGCAGGTCGAGTTAATCGTCGATCACGTTTGATTATGAGAAATAATCGAGTGTATAAACCGATGATGATCACGATTACTGGTAAATTGATGCCAAGAAAGATGAACGTTGAAAATTGCCAGCCAAACATGAAGGGATCTTCAAGATGGAGCGGGAAACAAACGCCATTCGAAGCATAGTAAAGCGGATCTTCCGGATCAGACCAATATAATATGGGGAAAACTGAGATCGCCAATGAAATTATCCAGATAATAAGTAATATGGTCGCTGTCCAACGAAGGGTAACAAGACGACAGGTCATTGTTATACTTCGATATCTTTCAATTGTTATCATGAGAACGATGAAAATTGAAAGTTCAGATGAAAGAGTGGCCAGGAAACCGCAGAAATTGCATTTCCATGAGTGCATCCATTGTAGAGCATAATTATTGTACTTTTCTCGAAATGCTTGATCGTACGAACCGATAACAACCAGATAAAGTCCCATCATCAGATCAGCAACTGAACAATCAAAATGGATAAATAATTGTTAATAGTCTGGTTCGGAAGTTCAATTTTCATCGATAAGCTTTAATTTAGATCATTTTTTATCCTCTTTCGAAATTGATTCAATTCTTTTCTCAGATTTAAGATGAACTTTTTTCTTCATTTTTGAAATTCGATAAATTTTTAAAATTAGAAAATAAGTCATGATAAAAGTTCAGCTGCCTCATGTTTCCATTGTGATATTATTCATGGAAACTGAACAACTAATAATATCTATCAACACTCTCTCATGTATTTTCTTACAATTCTTACCCACTCGAATGTAAGTTACTAAGAATTCACATATTGTTCATGATACATAAAAAGAATGAAAGAAAAAAGTTCTTGAAGAAAAGCAAAAAAAAATTCGATCATGTATCTTTTTCTCTAATAGTTTCTCGATAGTTGTTATTATGTTTTTCTTTGTTTTCATTTCATTTGTTCGTACTAAAAGTCTGTTTTAATATTCGAAGAAACTCGAAAAAAATCGAAACAAAGTAAAATTGTATTATTACTTTGAAAGGAAAATTTTGTAATCGAACTGAATCTGAGAGGAGAAAAGTTCATAATTTGAAACCAATAGAAATCAATAGAATTGAACAATGAACAAATTTCATGGGCAATTTGGCTCATTAAAATTGTAGAAGTAAAAAAAGTTAATCACAAAAAGAGACCATTAAAATTGTCAGGGAATTAAACTTATCGAGATTCGTTAATCATCAATTATTCAATTTCCATGGTCTCTCTTTTAGATTTAGAATTGAACTGATCACTTACTCGCCAAATTTTTAACCAAAAGTGAAAGTGATTGATGCTCTTTCTTGGCTAACGATCTCCAGACGAGAACCAGTGTGTTACCTGCACAGGTAATTCCGGCCACGATCCAGACAAACATTCTCAGAATCGGATAGAGAAGTAAATGTTTCACCGAAGAGACTCCGTCACTGAAAGGTCGGCAAACACGGACTCGAGGAGCGTACATACAATATCTGAACTTGGAAAAGTATCTAATTCATTTTGAAAGAGAGAAAAAGGGAATGAAAAGAATCGAAATTGTATAAAAAAAAGAAGAGAAAAATTGGAAAAATTCTTACACATGACGAAGGTTAAAGGTTCGATTAAAGTGATCTGGGTGAATATTTCGTATCTCGATTCCTGTCAAGTCAATTGATTGTAACTCTCGTGACTCTTTGAAAACATGTCGAGGTAAAGTTGTCAATGGATTGTAACTTAAATTCCTATTAATCAAAAAATCATGGAAAATCAGTTAGATTTTATATTACCAGAACTTTAGTACATTCGATAACCACGATGAGCAAAAACTTTCGATATATTTTTCTACTAGAGTGTTGTCATTTTTCAAGAATAATCTACCATGATTACATGATTATCGTTCGTTGAATTGGAATAATAATTTAATTGGAATTACAATTTTCTCAAATCTCGAAGATTGTGAAAAGTTGTCACATCAATGGAATCGATTTGATTAAGAGGAACCTCCAAGTGAATTAACCTCTTATTAAAGTGGAATGCATCAGCTGGTAATCTCTTCAGTTTATTAGAACTTAAATTTCTGTTGAAGAAAAACAAAATCGATATAAAAACAATAATTTAAAATTCTTTTTCCTCCTCACTAGATGGAGACACAATTTTCATATTCGCAACTTTCCAACAAACTTTTCCCTTGTTTTAATCTAATAAATTAATTAATCGATAATCAAATTAGCTAATTATCTTTCTATTAATGGAAATTAGATTGTTGCAGAAAAAGCAAATTGATCAATGAAATTATGGTTGATACGAAAAAGTTACTTACAGTATTTCAAGATGATCGAGATTTTGAAAAATTGATTGAATTTCAGTTAATTGATTGTTACTCAAATCACTGGATTAGATGATGATTAGTTGATTGTTTGGAATAGAAAGAGAAACAAATACAATTGATTATCTGTTAATGATTAACAATAATTCATGTCTTACACACATCCATCTTAATGAATTGAGATGAGGAAAGATTCCTATGGATCGCAATTGATTGAATTCCAAGTATCTGAAACAAATCAAAATTAAAGAAACAATTTAATATTTATCACGATTAACTTAATTGTCTCTATTAACAAAATGTAAATAAAAAAAGAGAGACAAATCAACGAAAAACTTTCATTGGCAATAATTAGATTCCATCATGAGCTCAGTCATCAATTTAGTTGCCTGACAATTAGTGATATTAATTATCGTATATATGTAATATATTATGAGACAATTAAAATTAATTAAAGTATATTTGGTGTTTATCTTAATTTTGATCAATTGATTTTCGGAATTAATTTTTATCACTCCCTGGTTATGATTCTGGTTCTGATCCTGAATTTCTGGATTCAGAATTGGGAGATTTGAAAAGATTTGAGAGCAGAATGAATTTTTTTTCAAATAATCAACTTACAGGGTCTCGAGTTTTGACAATCCTTTGAATAAAAGAGCAGCATCTATTGTCTCCAGCCGATTTGTATGAAGTTCCCTGGATAATCATGAAATAAAAAGTAATGATCAGATTTAATGAACTTTCATATTATTGTAACATGAAGAGACATCATCATTATCATGAGAGATAAAGTTTTTTCAATAGATTCATTAATAAAGGTGTAAATTATAATAACAATCAACACACAATCTTATGATAATAATATAAAGTTCATCGGCCTGGTAGATATAATTTCATCATGAAATGCTGGTGACATGATTAAAAAGATTGACATGAAATCAAATGAATCAAATTGATAATTGAAAGGAAAACATGAAGATAAAAAATCAAATCAAAATCTATCATGAAATTCATTATTTTCATCATGATAATGATAAAATGTTTCGATTTTGTTATTGTTCAAGTACGATTAGAACTTTTCTTTCTCGATCCATCCTCCCATCGAACTTGTTATCTTACAAAATTACATGAAAATCTCATGATGTTGAATAATAATGGAAAAATTCCAACTAATTAAATTACATATAGTACTCACAAGAATTTAAGATTAGTTAATTTGTGGAAAGCATTTTCATCGATATGATTAATCTGATTTCCAATGAGGTATCTGAATAAAAGATAGAGATAATCATAGATTATAATATAAACCTCATGAAATTTAAATTGTAATCATAATGAGATAACATGATTACCATCATGATCGTTACTTAATCTAATCATGGGAAAGTTCATGATGTAACATTGAATTCGCCATGAAATTATCGTATATATACTTACAGTCTTTTCAAATGAATTAAGTTCTCAAATGTTGTTGATTCAATTGTTGTTAGTTGATTATTTTTCAATGAAAGTGTTGTCAAGTTTTGATATTTGGAAAGTATATCAGAATCAATTGCCTCAATAGAACCATTGTCCAGATTTCTGTAAATTTCAATTACCAGAATAAGATGGATAATATTAATAACGATTATCATGATAAATGATGAGATAAATTTACTGAGAAATCGTTGAAGCTTAAAGATAATATTCAAGTTTGTTAACCTTTTCAGATGAAGTTTTTTTTTCAACGATACATTTATGATCTTATATTCATCTGGTCAGTTCAGATTGACCTTAACTTTATCGATAATGATACTAGCATAATATTATTAATATCAATTGTTAATCCATCACAAAATAACCGTAAATAAGTTTCCATCAAATATTAGTTTGATTGTCAGTTTTATCATCATCGTCATTATTATTATCATGTTACTTAGATTATGTATGATGAAAATGAGATGACCATAAAGATTGGTCAAAGATTCATAACAAACAATGAAGATAATAGATTTGATTATTATCCTTTCTTATTATGTGTATATGATCAATATAAAATATGAAGAAAAAGTTAATCTGATTGGTGTCATTAATCAAAACGCGATATTTTTAATATGAAAATGGTCAATTTTCATCAATGGTCATCCTTAAGATTGACCAGCAAACTCAACGGACTCTGAAAATGTTACAAGATGATGACGAGTAAAGGTAAATGATTGGAAACCGATCAAGTAATTAACTAATTCTGTATACTGAACAATAATCAACTCCAATCAACTATAACTTATCATCTTTTGTATATTATCATCAATGGTCATCATCAATATGATTTATTGCCAAAGGGTCATTGGTATCATCGGTTTAATTTGTTTTTTTTTGCTTCTGTGCTTTTATATTACATTTGATTTTGTCAGATTTTGATTAATTGCAATTGTAACTTTTCAACATATTGTTGATTTAGTTGATTAACTTACAGAACTGTTATAGTTAACGATAGATTATCAGGTATCTGGTTGAAATTATGGTTCGGACACAAGATTCGAGTACTATCATTGAGGATACATGGACAGACACTTTGATAGATGTCACTTAAAGCTGAAAAGGAAAAGAAGAAAAAAAAGATTCACAAAGAGATACAAAAAAAGTTCCATTTCTTTTCACCATGGAATTGAATAACATCAATGGCGAAGAAAAAAACAAGAAGCTCAAGTTCATTGATCTAAATTGGGAGTATAAATGTTGCGATATTTTTTTATTCTTCTATAAAATTTGATTCGTTGATAACTTAACCCTTATCAAGATTTAGAATCCTCTAGTAACATTATCATGAAATCTGAAATTTCTGCTGTTCAGAATGAGCTATGAGTTATTACATGGAAGTGCCTCTGAATTACTGATCAATTTAATCACAAATTATGATCAAGGTTTTCAGATTTATCAATATTATCCTTTTGATTGATAAATTGGATGACAATTGATTGTTAATCCAAAACTCTGATGAAAATACTATCGGGTGTGTTTCATATATGAACATGAGCTTAAATTGTTACACTGATTTGATTGATGTTAATTGTAACTTATGAAAAATTTGACAGAAAGGTGAGTAGATTTGTTTTTTAGTTTATCGTAATTGTTACTTACTACAATTGTTATGAATAAATTGTGGCTGAGATTTAATTGTTACATTGAGATATTTCATCTTGTCCGCTTGATTAGCAAAATGTTGATCAAGAGCTCCATAGAGATCATCTAGAGTTAAATGGTTAAGAAATGAAAGTTAATTGCTATCAGTTGTTCACGAACATGATATTAACTTGATGGAGAAATTTTCACCAAAGTGAATTATGTTCAGTGAGAGATTATTCAGTTCGATGAGGGTGAAATTATCGGTCAGAAATCTCATCAGTCATCATTCATCAATTTTCATTTTCGACAAAAAAATTTCATCATAATCTTTCAATCGGTCATCTTTTACTCCTTTTCAATAGTCTCCATGTAAAACTAATAATAATCATCTATTAATATTATCATATGAAAGCACTAAATGAGTCTCAGGCTTTTAATCAATTGATTATTTATCAATAATAATACAGATATGAGAGAGAATCGATTTGAGTGCTAATTGTCAATCTGTGATTATTGATTAATGTCCATTCATTATTTTTTTTTATTGTGGTCATCGGACTTGACTAAATGAAAAGAGAGCTGAAAGTTGCTCATGAAATTTCATCTTCTAATCATCCAGGGAAATAAATCATTCTTGATCATGTTGTTGAGATAATATCATGGGGATCGTATTTAGCATCAGGTAAATTAGTAATTAGCTGGTAATTAATAGTTTGATTCCAAAATTATCCAATAAAATGTATTGAATTTAATTTTCTCAACGATGAATTTGTCAAGTCGATATGTTGACTGCAAGATCAGTTTGAGCAAAGTTCAGGATGGAATTGAGTTGATCAGATTCTCATGTAATACTTACCTGGATGAACAAGGTGATTTTGTTATTAGTTGAGACTCAAATTTCTGATCTCTCAAGTGAATTAAGGTTAAGTAAATAAATTGCTTCAAGAGGAAACGGATGTCAGGTCTAAATGAATTTAGAGACAGAGAGGTTTATCCCAAGATGATTATATCAATCATGAATTGAGAGGAAATGAGAGATTCCTGAATATAATGATATCTACTATTAAATCACCAAGTATCAATAGTATTAGTAATCTGATCAGTTGACAATTAACGTCAAATCAATCGGATCAACGTGATAGACACTTTAAACTGCATCTAACTAACCAAATAATACACTTGGAACTGAGTAGATTTTTCAACTTTCTCCATCAACAATCAATTTAATTTACTAATTGTTTCAATTAGCATGGTACTTACGACATTCCTCTTCGTCCTCACCATTAGGACAATCAGCAATTTTATTACATTGATAATCACGATTCAGACAGATTACTTGATTATCCTCATCAAATGATTGATAACATGGGAAATCATAGATATTTGCACAAGCTAATCAGTGGATTAAAAAAAATTGTTGATTAGTTGATTGAAAATAATAATAAAATTGTTCATCAATGGACAAAAATATTGCATCATTATTGGTTTAATTTGGTTGGTTAGCAATTAATCAAATTAGATTGACAATTGATTTTGATCAACATGAAACAGATAAATTGTTATATCATGTCTCATATATCAAATTGCCAACCTTGACATTGTATTGACAATTAACAGGTAAAAAAACAAAACAAATCAATCAGCAATTAAATATTCTCAACAATTTAATTGTAAAAACAATTTTAACTAATTACAGCAAACAATGGTACAAATGAGGTTAAATTAATTGTGTCTCAATGTAAGTTTCAATAATGATACTAATTAATAACCATTCATCAGCATGATGAAGTTTCAATGAATGAAAAAAAATTTAAATTCACACAATCAACAATCAATTAATTATCTTTGAATACATTTAATTATCACCACAATGGCGCTTGTATAATATTCAAAAGTAATTAAATTTGTCAGGTCATTGTGCTTAATTGTGATCAGGGAAATGGTTGATTAGTTAATTAGTTTTGATGATAAATCAAAATATTCTTTTCATCTTCTTTTTTTACAATTTTGTTTACAATTTTTACCGTTATATTGGATAATTGAAATGGAAAAGAAAAAAAAATTTCTCTTCTCTTTATTTCTCTTTACGATTCTTTTTTTCATCATTTTCATTTAATTTCTTCCTCTCATCTTTTAATTTCTCCCTTTAATTGTTTATCATAAAAAGTTTCAATAATTATACAATCGCTGAATCACAACAATTTAAAACAATCAATCACCAACACCCACAATCACCCAACCCACCATGAGGAAGAGTAGGTCACCTAAATAATAATTTTCTATCATAAACATTGTGATTAGGCTAATGGTGAATTAACAACAATCAAGTTAATCCATTAGTTGATATTTACTAATCTTTATAACCATCAAGTTAATCATCTTAATTATCTAATTTTCTAATCACTTGGATAAGTTTAGTGGTGAAACTTAAAAGTTTCATTGAATACAAAGTGGTGAGTATCTGTTGATTGAGAAGTTAATTTTATTTTTATCTCTGATAAATTATCAACACGAAGAGCATGATAATTATGATGATAACTATCATGATGATGATGATCTGGATATTTTTGAAAAATTCAACAGGCAACAAATCATATTATCACCAATGGTTTAACATCAATGGTAAAATGAGCTAATAACATAATCTGAATGAACTTTTCAATATTTTCCTGAGGAAATTTAGATTGATGATTATAATGTAATCAAATTAACAAGTTACTTCCTGATAATAATACTAATAATTATAATGATAAGTATTCAATAATCATGTAAGATAAAAGTGAAGATGAACAAAGTTTTCAATTCCTGAAACAAAATGATGAATTTCATGATGATAAATGGCTTTTAAATGACATGTTGATATTAACCATGAAAAAGTAAATAAACAATATTGAAACTTACTGAGTTAATTGAACTAATCTGTAAATCAACCAAAATATGTAATAAGTTAATTGTTTCTCATTGGATTGAATATCTCAAGTTTCAGTAAAATTCATCATCTTCATGATAATCAGATGCAAATTTCATGTCAATTGATTGTTAACTGTTAAACTTTCAATGTGTTCATTGTAATTACTTACCTAATGTTGTTGATTCATTTGATTTTTTAGATGACGATGATGGTGATGATAATGTTTCATGTGAATTATTGTGATTAACTGTTGATTCTGGTGAATCAGATGAATCTGAGAAAGGATCAAAATTATATTCACTGTATTGCCTTTCAATTTTAGCAACATCTTCACCAAACAATAATAGTAAAGGTAATAGGAAAACCGTTGCAAATATTGCAACAAGTGACAATATTGTGCAAATTTGATTCAAAGTCATCATGTGAACACCATGTAAACCCTTTAATTATTCAATACGAATCATTAATTATACATGAAACTGAACAAAAAAAATTGAAACACTTAATCACAACAATCAACACAAACACAGGAAAAGGTGATAAGTAGGAAAGTGTAGTAATTATGATGAGAAATGATAACAGACTAGGAAATGAAACTTATCTGAATAACATTGAAATTCAATTGGCACTTTCATGTAATAATTGTGATTAAGATGATGAAGATTAGGATCTCGGTGGGTGATATTGATTAAGTGGTGTGGAAATGTTAACATAGAATCAGAAATAAGCAAATTAGATCATGACGGATGACGATTGGTGAAATTTAATTTGATTTGGTTTGATTTTCTTGTTTTGCTTTGCAGGTTGATTGTTGGTGATTAATTTAACTGTTATTCAATTGATGGTTTCCTATTCCAATGGGTTAATATATTAATTTGAATGGTAAATGTTGATTATCAATGGTAATCAAGTGTCATTGTGGTACAACAACATTATCATCATGATCATCATGTAATATAATTAGTTTTGTATTCAAATCATGAGATGATCAATTTGATTGATATTAAAATTTTTGTAACTTTTGTTGTTATCTTGATTGTTGATGTTAACAAATGTTAAATTATGATTGATTAAATAGTAATAATTAATGATTTTAACAAAAGTAATCAAAGTTATCAGGTTTCGGTTGGTTGTTGTTGGTTTTATTTCAATATTCATGATGATGATGATGATGATGATGATGAGAGGTGATGAGTAAGGATTCAGAACTTTTTTTTCACTTTAATTGTTGACAATTAACTGAGCACAAATTGTGAGTCTGTTTAACCAACAGTTGAGTGTAATTAATGAGTAGATGAGCAAACAATCAAATGAGCACTTTGTAACATTTTAATTATAATGAATGAAAGATAAATTAAACTTTGATTAATTAATTAACTTGATCTTGATTTGGTTACGTTGTTGTTGTTATATTAATAGTTGGTAAAGTTAACCTTTTATCAATCAACAATTATCATAGTTTTGATGATAATCATCATTGGGTTTCAATTGATTACAAGGAGGAGGGAAAGCAAGATTTGATTACATTGATTATGGATAAACTCAAGGGATGATTACTAATTGTTTTTCGTTGGTTAATTAGTTGGTGATAAAGTTCATTCAAACTGATTAAGTAACTTAGAAAAGTTTGAAAAGTGAAAACATGAGAACATGATAACAGAGCAACTCAATGGAAACTAATGATCATCCAGTGATGAAGAGAGAAGATGAAGAGAGAGAGAGAGAGAGTAAGGGGAGATATTGTATCATGAAGTGAGAGTGTCGATGATGATGATGAAGAGTTATCACCTTTTGTATTAAGATGATGAAGAGGAAATGATGAGAAGGTGATGATCCACATTGAGAGAAGTTAAAATCAACTAGTAATCAGTTGATCAACGATGGAAATCATTTCAAAGATTAACACAATTTCTGTCCTTTGGAACTTTTTTTTTGCTTCTCCTTCTCGTGTCTCTTCAATCTCTCTATGATGTGTACATGCTAACATATGAAAGAAATAATAATAATAATATTTTTCGAATCAAAGAAAAAAAAAGTTCCACAGAGAGAATAAAAGAATCAGGGAATTGACCTTATCTAATATGTTTCTCTTATGTAACTTATCATCTTGTCAGAATTTTTCTTCATCTCTTTTTAACTCTTTCTCTTAACTCACCATTTTAAGAATCTGTTGATTCCTTTCATGATGATCAACAGCAAGTTTCAAAGAAAAACTCAAAGATTCATGAGATTATCTCAAGTTCTAAGAAAAATCAAAAGAATCACTTATAAATAATATCTATTGACTTGATCTATTCTTCGCCTTTGTTGTAAAAGTTTGTTAATGAGTTGATTTATAATGATGAGGATGGAAAAAGTTGATAATCAGTATCATGATGACGGTGATGATGATGAGGCATAAAAAATCACAGTTAAGAGATTTAAATAATGAGGTCATTGGTTTTAGTTGTTAGGTAATGGTAACTGAGTCTATTAGCAAACCTTAGGTTTGATTAACATGGTTAATTTGATTGAATCTAATGCAACTGTTATTGTTCAATTGTGTGTTTCTATTATTAAGGTTCAATTTGATTCTCATTTAATTAGGTTAACAGCCTGATGCAAGGTTGATCTCTATTAGTATTATTATTTACAATTAATGATCAACTTGAAAAGATGAGAGATTTAGGAAAATTAAGTAATCATTGGTCAACAACTGAGGTCAATTTCCAGTCTCTCTTGTTAAATATAATCCCCCAGAGTTTATTCAATGAATTGGAAAATTTTTAATTTCCATTAAATTGTTCATCGATTGTTGATTGATTGGATCAATTTGAAGAGAGCATGTAAATATATTTAAGGTCTCGTAGGTCAATGGTCATCTTTTTAATGTCAAAGTTTTCTTTATGATGGATTATGTTTATGTAAATGTCCTGTTTATGGTAATTGTGATTTATTGAAGGTGGACAATAATCAATACATGGTGGGTGTTTTAACTTTGGATAAACAGGGAAATGATGATTCCAATTTCAACTAAGTCATGAGATTCAACTCCACCCTTGAATTTACTTTGAACATCAATAGATGGCGAGAAAATTTCATGATGTTTTCCACCGAGAGTGAGAGGAAGATGAGAGGATGATTCAAGTTCTGGTCCTCGATGGAAGTAATCATTTACTATCAATGGGATATTATCAACATCAGAACTTGGGAAGATTTTGATTCATGGGTGAGAAATTCATTCAACTTTGAACCACTTGGAATCGAAATCGCTTCGAGGTATTTTCATGGGATCATTAGCAAGAATCAAAGGACAAAAGGTATTTACTTTTCTTTTTCTTTATTCTTTTTCATCCTCATCATTTTTTTAGTTTCTTTTTCTCTTCTTATTGCCATTTCATCCAATTTCCACCTATCATGAGTAACATTTTTATCGATCCAGAACAAAAGGAGGAACAGTTTTCTTTTTCGTGGTAAACTGTTATATCCTTTCAGGGGATAAATTCAATGTTCACTCGAGATTAATTTTACTCATGAGATTTTCTCTTTGTAATTGTTTACAAACTGTGGTCACAATTAACTTCTAATGAAGTTGTTGTTTATGTTATCATGTTTCGAATTCAGTTCATTTAATAAATGGAAAAAGATGACACTTTGAAATTTAGATTAACTTTCACTCACTAATCTTCACTCTCTCGAACTCATCATCTTGTTTATCTTTCGTGTTCATCATCATTGGATGAAGATTATCTTCAATTTCTTTACATCATTTTAACTTGTTCATCCTCATTCTTTGTCCATTTGTTATTTCAGCATTTGGATTGACTAACATTCCTTTTTTTCTTGATTTTCTCTTTATAATTAGTTAATCACTTCTTCGTTTGTCTGATTGGTTCGAGTTTTGAGTTGAACAATTTCGTCCAATTATGGGCAACAAAGTGGTCACATTTACTGATGAGCAATTGGAAAACTATCAAGTAAGTAATTCGATCCAAAATTAACTAATCGAATCAAGGTAATTAAGATTCTCGTTTAAACTTTCAAAGGATTGTACATTTTTCACAAGGAAGGAAATATTAACGTAAGAGTAAAGTTGATTAACTTACTGTTAATTGTTTACACTAATTGTGACTGTTTTCTTATCATTCTGTTTATTTAACCATCAGAATCTTTAAACGGTATCGAGAATTAGATCCAAAAGTTGTTCCTCAGGTTATGACTGGAGATGAAGCTCAAACAATTACTTTGCCTATGGCGAAATTTGAGAAAATGTCAGAATTGAAGGTAATTATTGAAGTTCTAATCAAACTGTTCAAGAAATTCTAACTCATTATGTTGTTATGTTTTCTTTTTCAAGGAAAATCCTTTTCGAAATCGAATATGTAAAGTTTTTTCTCACGATGGTTCAGGTAATATGACGTTCGATGATTTTCTCGATATGCTTTCGGTTTTCAGCGAAAGTGCTCCAAGAGATGTAAAAGTCTATTATGCATTCAAAATCTATGGTAAATAAAAATGAATTGATTTCTTTCGATATTTAATACAATCGATTTCGAGTTCGATTATTAATATTATCTTATATCTACCAACAGATTACGATGATGATCATTTCATCTCAGGTAAAGACATTGAACAAACAGCAATCGCTTTAACCAAGAATCAATTAGGACCTGAGGAGATTTCGGTGGTTCGAGAAAAAGTTCTGGAAGAAACTGATAACGATCAAGATGATAAAATATCTTTCGCTGAATTTCAACATGTTATTTCTCGAGCTCCTGATTTTCTCAGTACATTTCATGTTAGAATCTGAAACAACTTTAATAATCAATCTAATGGACTCAAACGGAAACAAATAAATTCATTAATTGAAACATTGATTCGCATCCAAAAGTTTAATTAATCTAATAACTTCTCTCTCTCTCTCTCTCTCTCTCTCTCTCTCTCTCTCTGTAATACTTTTATGATAATCATCTTGAATTTAAATCAATAGCACAATTAATTAAAATTTTACACTATCATGATTTTATAATTAACTTTTGTTTAGATGAAATACTTTAAACAATAATTTTCATTGATTAAAGTTATTAAATTTTAATCAGAGGTGATGGTGCATTTAAGGAGTACAGTTTAACTTTCAATTGCTGGATAATAATGATGATAATCAAGAGGAATCCTTAGTTTAATGTACAATTGTATTAATAACATCAATTTCCATTAGTAAATTGTATCGTAAATATATCATCATGATGAACAATCAATAAATGGCGGGTATTTCAACTCTCTCCTCTGGGAAATTTGGGTTATCACGCAGAGAGAGAGAGAGAGAGAGAGAGAGAGAGAGATTTTCCTCTCTATCCAGAACTTTATTTCCCCTGAGTAATATTATTCATTACAAATGAACATCAATAGATGGCGATTCATTCTCAATTCATGATACCACCGAGAGTGAGTTGGAGGGAGGATATTTGTTCATGGGAAAAATCAGCGAGAGTTGAAATATGTTTTATCTTTCTGTGTGTGTTAGTTTGTGTGTGTGGTGTGTGTGTGTATGTACTTGTTATCATAAATTCATTGACAAGTCAGGGAGTTAAAAGTGTTTTCATTGAGAGTGTCCCAAGTTTTTCTGAAGGAGATTTTTGTGCTTCATCGAAACTTGATCATCTTCCTTGTTAAATACAATAATCATTAGTGGCCACAACTGTGAACATAGAAACTTCTTGTGTGTATCATCAAAAGCCAACAATCAACTAAATCATCTCAGAAATCAACGTAATCCATTCAATCGTAATCAATTTCCTAAAACTAGAGCAGAAAAGTCAATCAGGAAGAAAGAACCATGGAAGACGAATCATTGAAAAGCAGCAAAGGACACGAGGTATTTATATATTTCTCTTTCTTTTTTGTTCCATCTTCATCTTTTATCTTCCTTTCTTCTTCTATTTCATCATCTTTATCATCTTCTTCTCGTCCACCCTCACTCTCTGTCTCTTTTTCCTCCTCTCTTTCTACCTCTAAATCTATTATCATGAGTTACAATTTTATCGACCCAGAGCAAGAAGTAATAGTTTTTATCTTCGTGGTAAAAATGTTATATCCTCATGAAAATAATTCTCTTATATATCATTTCATGATAACATTGATTTCGATTTTTGTTTGATATTACGATAAAAGACTCGAATCAGTGAAAAGAAAGTCAAATTTTTTCCATCCGAATTCAGTTGAGTTACATTATATCAATTGGTTTGCCTTGGGGTTCAATTTGTATTATTTTATTTTCTAACTTTTTCCATTCTGTTTATTGTGGTGGATTAATTGAGAGTGAAAATAATACTTGACGAAATTCAACATGATTCATTTATCTCATGAGAGTTTTAAACTGTTCTGATGAACCATTGGTGAAAAAATAGATTCCATCTCAAGTTATTTGATGGAAATTGTTGATGGATTCATTTATCTTGTTCTACTTATCATGAGAATAACACCAAAAGAATATGAATAAAATGATGAGGATGAGAAGAGAGAGAGAGAGAAATGTTCAGATTAAGATGTAAACTTTTCTTTTCTGCTTATCTTCATCCTCATCATCATGTACTTAGCATCCTCATCATCTTCATCTCTACTGAATCTTTTTCACATCATCATCATTTCAATCTATTTAGATGTTACTCTATCCTTAATGTTTCCCTTTGCATCGTATTGAATTTTTGGTTCATCATGATCATGGTAATAATAATTACCAGAATTAGAATAACTTTTTAACTGTTTATCTTAATCTTTATCTTATTCCACACCCAAACCTGAATAAAATTGGAAACTTAATCATGTAAATCTTCATGATGAATATTTCACAGTCATAATTAACAGGAATTAAGGTTGATTAGGTTTCAGTTTCAAGGTTTTCCCTCAATTCATATTGTATGATATTCAATCAGTTGTACAATTATGATTGACAATTGTGAGAAAACAACTGAATTAAACAATCACTGTTAACTTTTTACACCAAAATGATTGAGAAAATTAACACTAAAGTTAATTCATTTAAAGATTTTTTCGCCCATTTGAATGACAATCAATATAAATGCTAAAAATTAAGATAATATTTAATATCCAATTTAAATTAACGAAAAGCATAAGGTAAACATTTTACTTTAATTAACTTGTTAATTAGATACAATCTAATCTAATTAATTATGATTAAAATAATCTCTAGAAAAGCTTAGTATCCTTTTTTAATGGGATAACTATTGTTGACTTTTGAATTGTTAATATTACCAAACTGATTTAATTAGTGAATAATAAACATTATTAAATAATTGATAAGCTTGTTATTCAGATAATTCAAAGCAAACAAAATTAATTAACAGGTAAATTGTTACAGTTATGACAACAATTTAGTGAGAATTTACTTTTCGTGGCTTAGACTTGAATCTTGTATTTCATGATATTCATCATGATACTCAGAAATGTTAATGACCATGAATAAGCTGAGAATGGTTCAAGTAATATTAGTGAGAGCATTATCTTGAAGATTATCATCCAAGTTCTGGACATTTCTCTGAATTTGATACAGAACTTGGAGATCCAATTAACTTAATTATCTCTCTATCTTTTTGCCTTCTAAATAGATGAACAAATCTACTGAATAAGTTCATGAGGAATTTGGTGCAAAAAAAAGAGAGAAACTAAGAGATAATCAAGTAAATCGTTGTCATGATACGAGTTATTTTCTTGAGTAGATTCATGAAGTCAAAGTGAAAGAAAATGTTCTCAAAGTTCTGGTGATGAAAAATTCGAATCCAGTGGTAGATTAGATTTAGAATTTACAATTTTTGCTACAGTGAACTTTTTTCTTTTTTTTTCATTCTCTACCTGAAAATAATCCATTTATCATCAATGTAATTTTATCTCATTTAATGAAATCCAACGAAATGACGATAATTCAGTTAACTTGAAAAAATCTATTATCACCAAGGTAAATTGTATGAAATGATGAAAAGGTTAATTGGATTGTTGATTTCTGATTGATTCCTGGGTTTCACTGAATTACTCAGTCTCTTATTATCATTTTCTATTCAACATCACCATGAACATTTATATGATATCTCATGAATATAATTACTACTCATGTTGGAATGTATTTATATGAGAACTTTTTTTTTTCTCTTCACCGTCATTCCAAGTTATCATGTTGAACTTTACAACAACAATTCAAGAGGATTTTCATTATTTACTGTTATCATTATCATTGAATTTCATGGTGATTTTTTTTCTCTTCTTAATCTTCTTCAGTTCTATGATATTCAGTTTCCAATTTTGAATTTGAATATTATTTTTATCACAATTGTTCACATGGAAGTAAAATTTTCTTCAATATTATTTCATTTTCAACGAGTAAATAGTGTTTACGATAAGAGGATTTTCTATTTCGATAATATTATTATCATCACCATGATATTTAAATGTTATTCTTTTTTACTTATTCCAAGTTTATTTAGAACTTTTTTTTTCTCCTAAAGAATAGTTCGAAAGAAAAACTCGTTTTCGAATTTTTTTTTCTTCTTCTCCATTTCTTCATCTACTTAATTTAATTAGATTTCTTTTAATTATCTTATAACTTTCCTTCCCGTGGATTTTGGTTATATTAATTATCGTAAATATATTTACCGTCGAAATTATTTTCTTCCTACTAATTAATTGTCTTGGTAATTAGTTTTTCGATATTGACTCAGAATTTGAATATGATAATAATATAATCACATTATCTATTTATCTGATTGAAGGATTATCCGGTTTGATAAAAAGTTCAGACATAAATGAATATCTAATGATTATTATTCCTGGTGAATTTTAAATTGTTATTAAATTGTTTTCTCCGGTTTTATGATGTTTAAATGATCATTTTCATAGGAATCAATTTAATAATAATTGGGAATTAATATTCAAATTATGAGAGTGGGTGGATGATGATGAATACAATGGAAAGGTATCAACATGGAATCGTTGTTTTTTTCTCACTCCATCATCATGATTATCATCAATTTGATGAGAAACAAATTGATGGAAAGTGTTACCTCTCAGGTGATTAAATAACAATCTATTAAAACATTTAATGATTGTTTATCTTTTTCTTTGGATAATCTATTGTTAAGCCTTGTTTATTTTCATTGAGAATTTATTTGTTCATCAATTGTCTTATTATTATCTATTATTATCTCATTGAATGAATGATGATCATCATAATCATCATGAAGAACAATTTTCTTCAATCAAAGGATCATCATCATGATGAACATGATAAGTTCGATATGAGTAAAGATTCCAGTTTTTTGCTTCTTTGTTCTACTTTTTTTTTCTTTCGTAGTTCTTAGCATCATTTTTAGCTAAAGAAATAAATTCATAGAAAATTCTGTAACATTATCACAAACATAAGAGAGAAAGAAAAGAGAGAGAGAGAGACGTGTAATTTATATTCTTTAATCATTATGATGATTAAGTTCTGATTCATTTTAATGTTTCCGTTGTTCTCTCCCTTTTTTATATCTTTCTCTCTCATTATCCTTCCCTGTTCCCCTGAAATCACTGAAACTCATGAACTATTTATTATCATCATTAGTTGAAGTAGAAAATATTATGTTCCATTATTTGCATCAATAGAACTTTTCTGTTCTTTGATTTTTTTGTTCCATCATCATGAATATAACTGAATTTGCATTTATTACTTTTGTCTAAATTGTTTTGACTCCCTTTTCTCTCTCTCTCTCTCTCTCTCTCTCTCTCTCTCTCTCTCTCTCTCTCTCTCTCTCTGTCAAGATTGTGATGAATACTAATAAGATTATTTTGATTAGAATCAAGGTTACTACCTAATTATTAATTATTCTAGTCTACTGATGATTGATTTTGATAAATTCTCCAGATTTATAGAGAATAATCTTTCCAATAAATTTCTCTGATTTGATTATTGATAATTCAATTCATATGCAAAGGTGTACATTAGACAGAAATTGATTGTGATTAAGTGAATCTATTGGGAAACATTTTCACCAATTGAATTACATGTTATTCAGTTTTTACCTTTGTCTTTGTTTACTTTTTTTCCTATTGTTTCCTCTTCCTTCATGGTCTCTAATCATGTAGATGATGATGTTTGTTTTGAATGGGATTGATTGTTACCTGTAATTGGACAAAAGGGTCAATATTTAACATTGATCATAGTAAATGACCACTGGTCATTTGTTACTGGTTACCCCATCTATTGTTCATCAACATGATTAGGTTAATATGATTGAGGAAGGAAAAAGTTGATTACATTTTTTTCTGGTCCAAGGTGATTAAGTGAATGATCTCAGTCATGTTTACATCAATCATGGAACCAAAATTGGATTATTCTGGTTACATGATCATGTAGATTATTGTATTGGTTCATTGGCTGTTCAGAATTTTTTTCTTCGAGTTTCGAAGCAAAGAAAAGTCTCTCTTTTACTCTCACTCTTTTTTTTTGGTTCATTCGAAGTTTTTTTTTTCGTCCTCGATTGTATTTCGCTCTAAGAGATTGACAATTATCTTGAAAGTTAATTAGTTTTGACTTTTAAATGTCGCGAGTTCTTTTATCAGGTAATTTAACTCGAAATGGTTCAAATTGTTTTTCGTATCAACATGAGTTCGAGTTGTTGATGATGATTTACATCTTTATGATGGATCATGTTTATGCCAAAATTAATTGCATTCAAACGAGAAGATTAACAATTTATTTTATTACATTTTTTTCGTTGCTCTTTCGTTATTTCAAAATTTAGATCAAGATTTATTTTCATCCATAGGGATAAGTCCAAGGAGAAAGAGATTAAGATTAGTATTGAGATTAGTAGGATGGAGATACTAATGGCTGAAATGGTGATGATAATGAATTAACATCGCCTGGATCAAATTTATTATCGTTTATCTCTGACAATTGTCTGGATAATATTTATTTTTATTTCTATTAACATTTTCGTAACTTTTTCTTACATTATTGTTTGTGATTAACTTTTCCTTTGAACTTTTGATGAGAAAGAGCAAAGGTTTCCTTTTAATTAGAATAGTTGTTAATTAACTAAGTGTCGTTATCTTCATATGAACATTTAACTTTGTTAAGGATTAATTTTCATTTAGAACAAAAAAAGGAGGGAAATCGAGGTTAGGTAATCATTAACCTCGAAACTAATGGTAAACTTATGTTCGTAATGTCCAGTAGGCAGAATAATGTCAATTCTTTCGTGTTAAACTGGAGGATTGGCCATTTTAACGATAATTCAAGTTACTATTAATCATAATTATTCCAAGTTAACCAAAATGGTTCTCACTAATCAATATTAATGAAGGAAAAACAATCAAATTTTAATCAATTTCTGGTTCTCTTCACGTGCCGCCATCTGGTGAGCGATAGTTGAACTAATTTTTTAAATTCGATTTTAAATTTTCTGTTCTGTTTATTTTAATTTTTTTACTTCATTTTGATTATTTGGTTTAATCATCATTAGTAATTCTAAGAATAAGATGATCCGGAAATACATGGATTCTTTGTTTGCTGATTATTTCTGATAGATTATAACGGTTACCTAACCTTTAAACTGAATCTTAATCAATTAAATTTGTTTCCAATTCAATTCATTTAATATTGTGACCTTTTTCTTTCCGGACTTGAAATTACCTTTTATTTTGTCTCCTGGTTTTGGTTGATTGTTTACCTGTATTACACTTGATTAGTATGATCATCTCTCCATAAGGCATCATCAGGGGGCTTGTATCCAATTGATTATAAAATATTGAATGATGACAATGTATGAGATGGATTATTCATCTGAAAACAATAATCATCATGGGAACATGTAAGTCAATTAATCTATGGAAATAAGGTATACATACTGTTAACCTTGATTACAGATCTAATGATATAAACATATATCAATTCTCACAGTGAAACATTTATAACTAAATTTGGGTTTACAATATCATTTCCAATAAGCCTTTACTTTTTGGGTTAATGAGACAAAGACAAAGACAAAGACAAAGAGGATCAATAATATCACCAGAAAGAAAAAGAGAAAGTGTTTCCAATTCTCTTTTCCCTCATCTCTTCATTTCACTTCCATGTAAATTGTTGATCAACAGAAAGAAATTAAGACGAAGATAGAGAAAAATCATCTACCTGACAAAACGAGGATTAAACCAAAAAAAAAAGAAAATGGAGAAAAAACTGTGGTAAAAATTAACGAAGAAACGAAAAAAAGAATAGAACAAAATGTAAAAATTAAAAGAGAAGAGAAAATGGAAAACCAATGAGAGAAAAGAATATAAAATGATGTCAGCAGGTTTGATTTTTCTCTTTCTCTCTCTTTCTCTTTTTCCAATTTGTGAGTTCTTTTTGAAACCAACCGTAGACATGGAAAAGTGAACATCATTTCCAACTAATTTTTTTTCTCTTCTTTTCTATTTCACTTTATTAACCATTCATCATGTTTAACTTAATTAGTCTAACCAGTTATCAATTCATCTTAATTCTAATTTGATTGTTCAACATCTTCTCTTCTACTCGGATTTTCGTCTCTCCCTTTTATAATTCTATTTTTCTCCCTCATTCTCTCTCTCTCCTTTTTTCCTTTTTCTTCTTTTTCTGCTTTTCTTATTCTTCATCATCTGCTACTCATTCTTACCTTTTACTCTGACATTTGTTTTCGTTATTTTTTTTTATTTTGACACTTTTTCTTTTCTGCTTCTTTTTCTGGTTCTCTTTATCTTCATCACTAATCCTGTGTTTCCATCTTCATCTTGTGTTTTGATTTTCTATTCTATCTTCATTCTCTCTCTCTCTCTCTCTTTCTCTCTCTTGGTGTAAATTCTGTGTCTACACAATCACCAGGTTCCTGAGGCCTTACTCCTTTATCCATCTTTCAAGGAAAGACAAAAAAGACGAATGAGTCTTCCCATAGGAAGGTTGGCCACCGGTCTTGAGAAAACCACCAACCGAAGTCGCCGAAATTCATCAACATCCGTCTCTTCATCTGCCTGTAAGTTTTATCCTTTTGTTATCTCCATCATCTAAACTTATATCATCATCATCATCATCTCTCTACTTTGTTGTCAATTAAACAATGTGCTTTTATTGATCCAAGCTAAATAAATGTACTTGATGATAGTGTTTTCAAATCAGAGTTTTCCATTATCTTTCATTTGTGTAACCTCAGTTTCCATTATGTGTTGCAAATCAGCTGATATTAGATAATAATCGACCAATTGTTGGAAGTTAATCATTTTATCCTTGATTTTTGGCTAACATTTTACCAATAGAAATGATTATTTATTTTAAAATGGTGATCATTTCATAATCTTCCATGTTTTCTTATGATAGCTGATTGGATCATGATCATTAACTTTTAAATGGGTTTCATGATAACTCTTTATATTGATGACAATTGTTTCCAATCAATTTTCAACTTTTCTCTATGTTTTCTCAAATTTAACACGAATTTTTTTCTCCTCTCGTGTAATATTTACAAATTGGTCAAGATTTTCAACTCTCATTGAGTCTATAGTAAATCCTTTTAAGTAATAACTTAAACATCAAATCTTTGACAATTTGTAAAAGATTAACAAGCCTGTTGATGATAGAGCTTAATGATATGATGAATCTTTTCCGGTTAGGTCCATCTAATCAATTGTAGCTTTTGTGTTCATCATATTCAAAAGAATCGCTTGTTATCAATTTATTATCGATTTTTATCTACATCACTGATCCATTGATTCTGATTTATCCATTCTTTTATTTTATCATTTTAATTTTTTTTCTTCTTCCTTTGCTCTCTTTCTCTCTTTTCTTATCCTTTCTCACAGCTTCTTATACAGAGTCAAGCTCTGAAGATGAAACCGGAACTTCGCCTCGGGATAAAGTTCAACGAACCTCTAAAGGATTCACTGATTTTTGTGTTAAAAACATCACACAAGCTCCATATGGACGAAAAGAGATTGAAATGGCTGAACAAGGTTTGAGAAGCACTTTTTTTGGCATAAAATCATCGATTTTACTCAAAAACCAATCAATTGGTTATTGTAAACCAGAAACTGATGGACCATTTGTTAATTAGAATATTTTTTTACTCAATTGTTCTCTCATCTCTTTTCTAGAGATGCCTGGTCTGATTGCCTTGAGGAAACGAGCCCAAGAAGATAAACCTCTAAAAGGAGCTCGAATCATTATTTGCACTCACATCACTGCTCAAACAGCGGTTAGTAACGTTTCACATCGATCACGCTGATTCAGGCCCATGAACGATTGGCACGAATTGGAAGCTATTGTTAAATTCTATGGTTTAATTTAAAAAAAAATCTTTTTTTTCTGTCCACTTCGATTGTGGGGATCTTAGGTTCTTGTCGAGACTCTTGTGGCCTTAGGAGCCAGTATACGTTGGGCTTCATGTAACATCTATTCAACCCAAAATGAAGCGGCTGCTGCCATCGCCGAAGCTGGTATACCCATTTACGCTTGGAAAGGGGAAACTGAGGAAGATTTTTGGTGGTGCATTGATAAAAGTATCTCTTCAGAATCATGGCAACCAAATATGATTCTAGATGATGGAGGTGATGCGACTCATTTACTAATCAAGAAATATCCTGCTGCATTCCATTTGATTAAAGGAATTGTTGAAGAATCGGTAACTGGAGTTCATCGTTTATATCAGCTTTCGAAAGCTGGTAAATTAACCGTTCCTGCAATGAATGTTAACGATTCTGTCACCAAAACCAAATTTGACAATCTCTATTGTTGCCGGGAATCCATACTAGATGCGTACGTTTCTACATTTGTCTTCTATTGTTTCTTAAGTTTTTCACACTTTTATTCATTATTAATTTGGGTTTTCTATTGTTTCTCCACCATTCTATGTCCAGTTTTTCTCTTAATTGCTCTTCAAAGACAAAGAGAAATTAGATAATCATTTACTATCAACAATAGTTTTTCTATTTAGTCACGAAAAGAAAACCATTGTCAACTGTATCTATTAACTGCTACTTCAAAACAAACTTTTCTCGTGTTTGTTTTATCATTTTTAGAATTTATCATTAATTTCATAATCACAAGCTCGATTACAGTTTCAGTTTCATTTTCTAGGTTAGAATATTTTGTTTGTCATTGATGAAAAAAGAACTCCAAGTTAGAAAAAAATCGATAAAATCATTAATGTCAATTAATTTTAATTTCTTAATGTTTACCGTTTCTTCCCGTTATAATTTCTCAATGAATAGTTACCCGTGATTAGTTTTCTTTTCTCTTGGCTGTTTCATAATTATTCTAATAACTTGATTGATCGTTATAAATTAATGTTAATTTACAATTAACTTTTCTCTTTCATTCAACCTTGTCCCCCCTCTCTCTCTCTCATTTATATTCATTGTTATGAATAGACTTAAGCGTGCAACCGATTGTATGTTTGGTGGAAAACAAGTCGTTGTCTGTGGTTACGGCGAGGTAAGCTGATACTAGAGAAATTCAAATTACTCGAATTATTATGAAACATGATTTGCAAATTTTCTTATTTTCTCATAAATTTCCCTTAATTAATCAACCTTTTTATATTTTCACTCTTAATTACCTCCATTAGGTCGGTAAAGGCTGTTGTTCAGCTTTAAAAGGAATGGGAGCCGTAGTTTATGTTACCGAAATTGATCCTATTTGTGCTCTTCAAGCTTGGTAAGAATCGAGAACTATTTCGAAGTCGAAGAGTAAAAAAAACTTTTTTCCTTTATTACTCTCAATTACGACTTCTCAGGAGAATCTTTTAATTAAGGCTAATCAAATTAACTTTATTATTCTCCTTAAATGATAAATACCTCATGGTTAACTTTATTGTTTCACTTTTCTTTTCTTCATTAATGGTCATACCATTGATTCTCTAGCATGGATGGATTACGTGTTGTGACCCTACCTGAGGTCATTAGCAAAGTGGACATCATAATCACTGCCACTGGGAGTAAAAATGTCGTTACTCGAGATCATATAGATTCTGTTAAATCGGGTTGTATTATATGTAATATGGGTCATTCTAATACTGAAATTGACGTGGTAAGGATATCTAATTTCACCGATAGATTTTCTTCAGTAAATTATAACTCAATTAACAATTTTTTATGATGTAAATTAGAAGAAAGAAATTCTTGTTTCACTTAATTGACAGTTATTTTTGACATTATTTTGCTTTTCACTTACAAGTAAAATTATTAACATTAGACTCATTCATTTTCCCCGTGCCAATCATTATTCCTAATTGTTGATCGCTTTATTAGTCATAACTTTCAGTAGTAGTCACAATTATTATTGCTGTTATATTGTCAATGAAAGTTTGGTTGATTGAGCATAATAACAATGTTGAAAAAAAAATTAAGTAGAAACCTTGAATTTAGAGTAACATTAATCTAATGAATACATATATTACCGGTTACTTAATTGTCACACCTCAAGATCCTAAATTCAGTCAACTGTAGATCATTAATGTTATTGTAATTCATTTTCATTCATAAAAATAATTGTAGATTCATTTTATACAAGGTAATCTGCTTTCGATGTTTGATCATTAATTCAACTTTCATTCCATAGTTTTTGTTGTCTTTTTTTTGACATCAGAATTTTTCCATTCAGAACTTTAAAATTGATAAACTTTTCGCTAATTAATCATTCTTACTTTCTGTTGACTTTTAGAAAAATTATCAAAAATTCTATTAATTACAATGGTCATCAATTGTATCTTTCAATGAATTAACTCTCCTTTTTTGTCATTTCGTTTTATAGCAAAGCCTGAGAACTCCCGATCTTACCTGGGAACGAGTTCGATCTTCCGTTGATCACATTACATGGCCTGATGGTAAAATGATCATTCTTGTTGCTGAGGTGAATTATGTTACTTTCAATGGAATCTTATTGTTAATTATTTATTTATCTAACTACCAATTAACCTTGAAGATTTTTTTCCTCCCTTTTCTCAATAATTGAATAATTATTACTATGATTACATTTATACAATGAATAATTGTTTTTTTTTCTCTCTCTCTTATCTTCCTATTGTCTTCAGGGTCGACTCATCAACCTGAGTTGCTCCAGTATCCCATCATTTGTAGTTTCCATCACCGCTGCAACTCAAGCCTTAGCCCTAATTGAATTATACAATGCTCCAAGTGGGAGATATAAATCTGATGTTTATTTATTGCCCAAAAAAATGGGTAAGCATTAACATTAACGATTCATCATCATATCCGGAACATTTGATACTTTCATTGAATGTTTTCAACAAAAGGTTTCAGAATCTCCTATTACTACTAACCCTTGATGCAGAAACAACAACCAACCCTTCAGTCAATAGATGATTAACCAGTATTTATTAGGAATATTTTTTGATTACATTGTTGATTAGACAGTATTTCACACAACTCACAATTAAATGAGCTTCTTTTTCATCCGGATGTTTCTAATCTCTAATCTTAAATCAAAAATCACATAGCAACTTTAACTTATTGATTTTAGATAATATGATAGGGAAAAAATTGTTTTCTTTGTCCTTTTTATTGTGTATTTATCATGATTAATTATTTTCTGCTCCTTTCCAATAGACGAATATGTCGCTAGCCTTCATCTTCCTACTTTCGATGCCCATCTAACTGAACTTAGCGATGATCAGGCCAAATTTATGGGCCTAAATAAAGCTGGACCATTTAAGCCCAACTATTACCGGTAAGCAAAAATTTCATTAAATATTTTTTCTAATTGCCACTCGATTTGAAGATTAATTATTGACTCATTTTTACCTCTATTTCTCTCACAATAGGTATTAATTTAGACTTTTACTATGGAAATAAGCCTGTGGTCACACCTTTTTAAGGATTATCATTATTCCTATTCATCTTTTCATCAGCCATTCCTCATGTTATCAAAACAGAACGAGAAAACCCACAAAAAACAATAAACAAAGAGAATGGTCATTTTAATCCATGGATTAGATTGTTACCCCTTAAAAGACCATCACTGTTAAACTTGCAAAGAAACTCCCGGATTAATTCAACGAACATACTAACACATAGTATATTCAAAAAGTTACAATGATTAATATATAACTATTTATATGTATTCATATATATTATATATTGAAAATTAGTGGAAATCTAAATGAATCCAAAATAAAACCAAAAAGCAAGATGAACCGAGATAAAGTTGCAGTCAAAACCAGCACCAGATAAACCTAATCCTGTGATAGAAAAAAACCAAAAATATATCCCTTAATTGACCCTTGTCAGACTTAGATGATAATTATTGTAATAATTTACTAATTCCTTTGTTCTAACTTTCAATTTACGTTCTATTTAAATGAAAAACCTTCTTATGTAATAATAACCATTGGAAAAGCAGCTTAATCAAGACCAAAACAAGTGAGACTTTAGTCAAATGGATAGTATTGAGAAAAATGCTCCGCCAACGCACAGATACACAAACTCAGCATCTTCCCAAATCGGACATTCATTTTGGACAATCGATACCAGAATCTCACTAATTTAATCGTCCCTTTCCCCTGACAATTTATCCTTACCTGTGATTTGTCATTTTTAATCAATGACAAACTTAAAGTTGTCGATTCTTCAACTTTTTCTTCCTAATTGTGTCCTTAGCTTGTCTCCAGCAAAAACCCTCTAAAAGATTATCATCTTTAATAGCTCATCTTCATCTCTCTATAATATATCCTCCAAATAATCCTAGTTGATATTAATTTTAACCACAAGTGAACAATTAACATGAAAAGTGATTAATATTTGAATGAATGTTGATCATAGTTTTCATGTTTCCCTCGTCATTACAATCACTTTTTTAATTCTTTCAATTGTTAATTGTATTAGTATGAAGTTCATCTTGCTTTTTAATTTCACCATCAATGATTAGTTTAATCATCGCTGATTGATTCCATCCTTTGAAAAATCATCGACATCTAATTGTATCTTACCAACAAGCAATTAACTTTGTCTCCTTCAATCATCTGTTCATCTGAATTATTTATATAATTGTTTTTTTCCAGAAAATTCTGATCATCAAATCAACATAACAAATTACAATCAATTTAATATATTTTAGGTAAATCAACAATCAACAATCATATTACTATTATTATCTCTCAATGTATTTGTTACTACAATTAATATGAAGTTTAATTGTAAGTAGAAAGTAAGATTTAGTTAATTGACTAATTTCATTCAGAAATTTAGATTCAGTCTTTGAATCTTTTAATTATAATAATAATATGATTATTAATGGACAGCTGATTAAGATTAATCAATATGATAAGAACAAATGATTTTAATGATTAACAATTTAATTTTCATACGTTGTGTCAACCGTAACATACAATTTTGATTCACTAACCAATTTTACCTTTTAATTATTTAAACGATTGTTATAAAGTTAAATTTCACCATCATTGGTTATTAATTGTAGATCTTGTGAAGAAGTTTAATTATTGTAAGAATCAACAACTAATCAGCAAGATATTGTATTCCAATCATAATAATAGAAAATCTTTTTTTCTAAAATAATTAAACTAATCAAGATGATCAACTTATCGAAATGTTCGTTTATTTCATTTTATCTCGAGAATTTATTGGCTGTTATTGCGGTTTACAAAAAGCTTCGAACTTGTACATTTTCGATTGATTATTAATAGTTCTAGTGCTTTTGTTTCTCGTTGAGTGACCAAAACACTTAAAGTAGAAAATTTAATGCATCGGGTGGAAGTTCCTTAATCACTCAATTAACTAAATACACGGAAATGTACATTAAACTGCGTTCGAAACTGAAGGTTTAGTCTCATCAGAACTTTTTTCAGGGGCTTCTGGAGCTTCTGGAGACTCTTGAGACTCTGGATCTTCAGGAGGTGTCAGTGCTTTAGGAGCGTATAAGTTAATCTTATCCCAATCTGATGACCATTCGATGTCTTCCTCAACTTTTGCACCTCCAACACTTTTAGAAGTTTTGAAAGATCTGTCCACTTTGATTCCTTCGTTTGCCTTGGCATATTTGCCGAATGCTGAATTGTGCAAAGGTTTTCCGTGTTTATCGAAATGCAATTCAACTACTGCATTCATTAAATCAATGAAATGTGATATTGGAACTGTGGTTGATAAAATATTGAGAAGAAACCAGTTACCGGGTGAGTTGAGTAATCGACGGTACGATTTTGCGGCAAAAGATGAACTCGTATACGATAACATGAAATATCGAAGAGGTGGAAGTGTCAGGGTTAGACCTCGATAGAATAGAATCAAAATGATGAAGATGAACATGAAATGATAAAGGAACCATTGGCATAGATAAACTTTCTCGTGTAATGAATTGGCAGCGAGAAAACAAAGTCCATCGTAAGAATTGATGTCACCAGTGAGACCAAAGAATTGTAATGTACACTTGACCATTCGAGGGAAGATCAACTGTAATGGATCATAGGAATTGGAATAACTTGAATCACCCACAGTCGATCGAAACTCTGGATTACTTGGTGAGGTCGAAGGTGAAGAAAGAAACAAAGAAGTGATACTTTTCATACTGTAGCTTGAGTCCAACCAAATGACACCAAGTTTAAGGAAATTGCCATTGAGGAATCGGTCAGTTGCCCAAATTTGGAAAATGAGATGGACAAGACAAATTATTTCCATGAGAATAACGTTATAATAAAAGGTGACATTAGAGAATAAAAGATCGGCCACCGATTGAACGAGATTCATCTGATCAGCTTTTTTATATTCGTAAAGATTTTTCTTGTCACTTTTTAGTTTACCAACCAGATCGATGACCCGTTGGTCCAAGAGACGATCCCAGATCCATTTAAGACTGAAAAACATGACAGACTAAGGAAAGGGATAATTTCAAATTAGAAGATATCAGGTTTGGATCAGAGAGATAATCTTACCTGGAGAAGTAAAGCAAAATAAACCCACTGATAGTAGCGGTGATAAAATTTCGATCCATCATCAGTTTGGACACTGGAAGTGACCCCGACGTAGGGCGAAATTGAAGAATGAGAATTGGGTAGAGTTGTGTAACTGCCATCGATCCAACAATAGTCATTGATATTTTCATTACTGAGTTTGGGAACAGTGTTGAAGGTACAAGAAATTTCAGCACCGAAAATATCTTTACATGTTAAAAGAAGAGCTTCAATGAGAAGGATTTTTGATAATAGAGAAAAATTGAATATGGAAATTATATTATCATATGGATGTTTCTTCATAGAAAAAAGTTTGAAGATTTCGATAGATTTGAAAGATTCCAGTAATTTGACTACATTAGTAGTTCGACCTTTATTCTCAGAAGCCCAATCCGAAGCCATGGTCAAATTTTACAGAAACAAAATTGGCACAGAAATAAAACTAGAAAACTTGAGGAAACAATTTTGTCAATAAAAGGAAAGAACTTTAAATGATACGACTTACATTAACAAGGAACAAATAACAAATGATCAACAAAAGCAATTATGATTACCAGCACAATGAATCATAAGTTAAATTACAATTTTAATTAACGGTTATGAATAAATGTTGTCTAGTCCAATGTTTTCTCAACTTTTTCTCGTTAATTACAATTCTTAAGAAGTTGTTTATCTAATGATTTAAATGAAAAATGAATGAAATATGATTCATTCGAGTCTAAAAGACAAAACAACCAAAATATGACAAAACTTATCTAGATCGGAATATGTAAAAGTTATGGAAGACATGGAATGGTCATCAGAGTGGGATAAAAAGGACCCATACGCTCCTAAAGCCCTGACACCTCCTGAAGATCCAGAGTCTCAAGAGTCTCCAGAAGCTCCAGAAGCCCCTGAAAAAAGTTCTGATGAGACTAAACCTTCAGTTTCGAACGCAGTTTAATGTACATTTCCGTATATTTAGTTAATTGAGTGATTAAGGAACTTCCACCCGATGCATTAAATTTTCTACTTTAAGTGTTTTGGTCACTCAACGAGAGACAAAAGCACTAGAACTATTAATAATCAATCGAAAATGTACAAGTTCGAAGCTTTTTGTAAACCGCAATAACAGCCAATAAATTCTCGAGATAAAATGAAATAAACGAACATTTCGATAAGTTGATCATCTTGATTAGTTTAATTATTTTAGAAAAAAAAGATTTTCTATTATTATGATTGGAATACAATATCTTGCTGATTAGTTGTTGATTCTTACAATAATTAAGCTTCTTCACAAAATCTACAATGAATAACCAATGATGACGAAATTTAACTTTATAACAATCGTTTAAATAATTAAAAGGTAAAATTGGTTTGTAGGTTAAGTTTGACTAGATACCGAAGCTAGTCGATCTAGTCAGTCAGTCAGTCGATCAGTAAGCGACTCGAGTCGAAGCCGAAAATCAATCAACTCGATCGACTCAAGTTATTCGACTTTGAGTCGACTTAAATACAAAATTAACTTGAATTTCGAGTCGTATCGTCCATTCAAAAATCAAGTGTAACAACTGATAGATTTTCTGCTTTTGTTTTTAGTATAAAAAGTTTCAATTAGCCCAAGAGAAAGGTGAAAATGCAGTTTTTAAAAAGAAATCTTACACGGCTTAGACCAAACTTTTTTCTGTTTGCATTCAAATAATTTCTCATGTTTAACTTACAAGTGAGTCGACTAGTGACTAGATTTGTTAAAGCCCCGACTTCGACTTGGTTGATGAGTCGAAAAAACTTGCGAGTCAGTCGTCAGTGTTTCGACTCGCTTCGGTATCTACGGTTGACACAACGTATGAAAATTAAATTGTTAATCAATATATACCGAAGTGCGCAAAGATTTCATTAGCCGGCTGTGGCTAATGATTGTAAATCATTCATTATTCTTTCATTATGCTATATCATTATGTAAGCTAAGTAGATGACAGAATCAATTCATATCTACGAGACTCACTGAGAAGTGTGTTGGTGGATACATAATTACGTATCATTGATTAAAACATTAAAAGAAATGAATGCCATCGCATTGGACAATAAGCTTTAGGAGTTGTTGGCTGCGATCCATTTAATTGTGTACTTTCATTGAATTCTGATGTGAGATCTGAATCAATTACAATTTCTCAGCAATATCAGTAGATCACCGGCTAACAAATCTGTATCTCCATGAGATTCATCAACATCACCACCAGTTACAATTCGTTCGATCAAAGTTCCTCGATCATTTTTCGAAGGTGGGTTCGCAATTGATGCATTTTTATACCTAAAATTCGAGTGGATTTAACGCATTTTGTCGAACAAAATAACTAAGTTCTCCGCCTTTTTGAGTCCATCCACGGTATCCAAGTTGTGTAAGCCATGTCCAATACATGAATGTGAAGATAGACCATAGTCACGACAAGCAGCTACAATATTGGCGCCACAATCTCTTACAATGTAGCACTCTGATAAATCAAAAGGAAAACTCTCACAAAGTTCTCTTAGTCTGTTGTGTATATTGTGGGCAGAGTGAACTTCGGGAAAAGCGATGGTCCTTTAACTCACTTTGATTAGATCTCTTTTCTGTCATGTTTTTCAATCTTAAATGGATCTGGGATCGTCTCTTGGATCAACGGGTCATCGATCTGGTTGGTAAACTAAAAAGTGACAAGAAAAATCTTTACGAATATAAAAAAGCTGATCAGATGAATGTCGTTCAATCGGTGGCCGACCTTTTATTCTCTAATGTCACCTTTTATTATAACGTTATTCTCATGGAAATAATTTGTCTTGTCCATCTCATTTTCCAGCAGTTGCATACGAGTGAATGATATGAGCTTAATTTACCATTCATGTTGTTAATATGTGACGCATTGACTGATTAATAGAATTTTGTATTATCAATTTTAAGCTATTCTCAAATTTTTTTGATTCAGTAGTTTCTACAGACAAACTCTGATACCCTGTTTTATTTGCTTTGCGAGTTAACTTAATCCAACTGTCTGGGATTTATTAGCATGGAAAAATGATTTCCGGCTTAACACATACAAACAAGAACCGAAGTATTTAATTATGCAGCCGAGAAAATTGAGTTTCGTACACTTTCAATCGAATGTGCGCATAGAGTGGCTTTTCTTATGTAAATTGATTGAAGAGTCAACTTTATGCGCAACAATTATTGAAAGTGTACGTAATGCAATTTTCATGACTGTATATTTAAATAGTATTACTTTGCTTTTTATTTTTAACTTTTTACGTCAAAAATATACACTTGACAAGTTTTTAAGATTATTTCTTTCGGTTTTAAGTTGATTGAATTGCAATTATTAATATAATGAGATGAGAGAAGAGGTTGTAAGGAAAGGAGAGGAAGAAAAGTTGTAGTGAAATGTCAACAGAAATGCGTCAAATCTTTTCAAACTTATCATCATGTCAAAAATCTCTGCTTATACTGAGAGAAACCTTAAGAAAAGAACTTTACTTAACTTTAAGTACACTCAAACAGTTACCTGGTGATTTGAGTAATCGACAGTACGATTATGCGGTGCAGGATAATAAATATGTGGGACAAAAAATTCTGGGGTTACAAAAAGTTACGTGAAAGTACACTTCGATAGCTGATTCCACTGAAAAAATTAGATTTTTGAAAAGATGTACAAAGTTTCTTGGTAGGCCAAGCCGTTAATTTGTTCACGTAAGTTATGTATATCCAAGTACTTAAAATGGCTGCAAAACTCACTATAATATATCACTATCACTAATGCTATTGATCATCGATATTTGATGGAGTTTTCTCCTACTAAATTATTCACGTTCACTCAATTTCAAAGTGAACTGATGAATTCGTTACCTGATGAGTTACCTAGATAAAACTCAGTCTAATAGTGGTTTCACTAATTCAAGTTAGGGGCTGGACGCTGGACGCTCAAAGAATAGCAAGAAATCTAAGAGCGATTTTTATAGGCTAAAAGATGTTTTTACAAATTTATCCCTGCTATAACTCATAAAGCGAGTCGTTTGATTGGTGAAGTATTTGAATCACTATCTTATATGAGTTTGGTCACTAATGGAAAAGGCCACTAATGAATAATTCATGCATCAATAACCAGCCGATCTTACAATACAATAAGAGTGAAGCATAACTGTTAGCGGTAAAAATTAAATATTCAAATTAGTCGAATTCCTTCCATTTCAAGTTAGCAGAAAGGTTCAAAATAACAACTTAAAACATATTTACACACAAAATTTTCTAAACCCTTAATCCTTGTCTTGATTGGAATTTATAAGGTATGGTACGGCAGTTTGATAGCAAATTGTATCAGACCAAGTCTATATTATATACCTAGGCCAGATTAGCTAATACATCTTGTATAGGCAACATTGATACCCACAAGCCGCAGATAATCTGGAATTGATCATTGCTGTTTAATCAATTTATCCTTTATTACCAATCAATTAGTTAACTAAAGAAAATGGCTTAAAAGATTAGATATAGTTTTGGAGAATGATTTTACGGCACGAAACACTTCTTCTAAAAACTTCTAAAAATCTTCTAAATAAATTATTTTGAGAGATAATCTTACCTGAGGAAGTAAAGCAAAATAAACCCACTGATAGTAGCGGTGATAAAATTTCGATCCATCATCCGTTTGGACACTGGAAGTGACCCCGACGTAGGGCGAAATTGAAGAATGAGAATTGGGTAGAGTTGTGTAACTGCCATCGATCCAACAATAGTCATTGATATTTTCATTACTGAGTTTGGGAACAGTGTTGAAGGTACAAGAAATTTCAGCACCGAAAATATCTTTGCATGTTAAAAGAAGAGCTTCAATGAGAAGGATTTTTGATAATAGAGAAAAATTGAACATGGAAATTATATTATCATATGGATGTTTCTTCATAGAAAAAAGTTTGAAGATTTCGATAGATTTGAAAGATTCCAGTAATTTAGCTACATTAGTAGTTCGACCTCTATTCTCAGAAGCCCAATCCGAAACCATGGTCAAATTTTACAGAAACTAAATTGGCACAGAAATAAAACTAGAAAACTTGAGGAAACAATTTCGTCAATAAAAGGAAAGAACTTTAAATGATACGACTTACATTCACAAGGAACAAATAACAAATGATCAACAAAAGCAATTATGATTACCAGCACAATGAATCATAAGTTAAATTATAATTTTAATTAATGGTTATGAAGCAATGTTGTCTAGTCCAATGTTTTCTCAACTTTTTCTCGTTAATTACAATTCTTAAGAAGTTGTTTATCTAATGATTTAAATGAAAAATGAATGAAATATGATTCATTCGAGTCTAAAAGACAAAACAACCAAAATATGACAAAACTTATCTAGATCGGAATATGTAAAAGTTGAGGAAGACATCGAATGGTCATCAGAGTGGGATAAAAAAGACCCATACGCTCCTAAAGCACTATGAAAGCCTATAATTGTTCAATTGGTTACGAATAAGGCCAAGATTCAATTTGAGAAAATTCTTTTTGTCAGTAAACAGAACTTATGAGTATCTACTCGTGTACGAAAAAAACTCCCTTTAGTTTTCATGAGTAAGTCAAAAAGCTTCAATCACCGATTATGGGGATTGAAGCTGAAATGAATGTCGAAGGTGATCATGATCAGTATACCATGATCACTTTTCAGAATGTTCTATTAATTAAATAATCAATACATTATCGTGACAATCAATTGATGACCATGAAAATCATGATCTTCAAACATCTCAGACAGAACAACAAACTAATAATCAATAGTTTTGTTACAAAGCGCTTACGACTAGCGACTAGTTCTTTTAAGGAACTTTCAGAAAGACTCGACTGAATTTCTCAAGAGCTTACATTATGAAAAAGGGTAAGTCGCTCAAGATATGTCAACAGTTCGTCTTGTCCATAAAGATATTGTCCAGATTAGATGAGACAAGTCCAGTATGTTTATCATTCTAAGGCCACAAATCAATTTAAAGTGTAGGATTGGTCTTGAAATAGAAATAGCCTTTAATGTTGTTTTAAAAATGAATTGTTTTTCAAATTTTTGACTTGAACGGATTAGAAGAGTTGACTTTAAGCAGATCAGTTTCAATGAAATGTTTTCTGTTTCAAATTAATGATTTTTTGTTCCCTTCCAAGTGATATGACTATACAGGGTGTAAAATAAATAACTTTAGCAGGAGGAGACTAATCAGCTCAATTTTGTTTACTGCGCAAGAAAAGACTTTCCCCTACTAACGTTATTTAGTTTGAACCCTGTACACTTAATCGTCGACACAAATTTGCAAAACTCAACTCCTCATTTGTCTAAGTAATTCATTCGCATAGTTCGATTTCTCAAATCGATGTCTTTCTCAACTTTTACATATTCCGATCTAGATGATCAATAATTTTCTAAAAATATCGAAAAGAATTTTTCTTTCACATTTGGTACGTTTTCGTTTTGTAAAGTCCGCAAGGCCTAAGAAAATTTTCACACGAGGGTATTTGAACTTCCGGAACCATCTTCAATATGTCCAAATAATAGATAGAGCGAATAATAATTCTTTTCATCAACCGGATCATCTCTGAATCGGCATCGTACCAACTCGATAATACCAGGACCGGCAAATGATCGGATAACTGCATTTGATTCACCTCAAAATTAATTTCTTCAATGACTTTAAAATTGTTTGACTCCCATATTGTGTCGTAAAAACGCGGCTTCTGTGAACCAACCATGAATGTGGCGGGGCATTTCAATGGTTTTAAAACAAATAAAGCCAATCTGCTTTCAAAATTCTCAATCCCATCGCAACGATAAATGTTGTCAGTATTCAAATCCCCGCCAAGAATAATGGCGTCGACTTTAACCCTGTGTGTGTTATGGTTCCTTTATCATTTCATGTTCATCTTCATCATTTTGATTCTATTCTATCGAGGTCTAACCCTGACACTTCCACCTCTTCGATATTTCATGTTATCGTATACGAGTTCATCTTTTGCCGCAAAATCGTACCGTCGATTACTCAACTCACCCGGTAACTGGTTTCTTCTCAATATTTTATCAACCACAGTTCCAATATCACATTTCATTGATTTAATGAATGCAGTAGTTGAATTGCATTTCGATAAACACGGAAAACCTTTGCACAATTCAGCATTCGGCAAATATGCCAAGGCAAACGAAGGAATCAAAGTGGACAGATCTTTTAAAACTTCTAAAAGTGTTGGAGGTGCAAA